ACCAATTCGAAGAGAAATGGAATGATGCAAATACTCGTTTGAGCACATGTCATCCCCATGCCAACAAAATAGTAATAAACTCAGATACTCCTCAAGAGGTTGAAGCTGGAAAGGATATCATATTCACATATGATGTTGGCTTTGAGGTGATGATATTTTCATGGCATCTCTTCTTTCCTTTTGTACTATGACTCTTTTCCTTCACAGCTATGCTTCCAATGTTATATTTATTTAAACAATATCTTTTGGTTTTCTTCGCTGGGTCTTGTAGGAAAGTGATATCAAGTGGGCTTCTCGCTGGGACACCTATCTGCTTATGACAGATGATCAAATTCACTGGTTCTCTATTGTGAACTCTCTCATGATCGTGCTTTTCTTATCTGGAATGGTGGCCATGATTATGCTCCGCACTCTATATAGAGATATCTCCAGGTACAATCAACTTGAGACTGAAGAAGAAGCCCAGGAGGAAACTGGTTGGAAGCTTGTTCATGGAGATGTGTTCCGCCCACCAACTAACTCTGACTTACTCTGTGTCTATGTTGGCACTGGTGTCCAGTTCTTTGGTATGCTGCTGGTTACCATGATGTTTGCTGTCTTGGGTTTCCTTTCTCCATCAAACCGTGGAGGATTGATGACTGCGATGCTGCTCATTTGGGTCTTGATGGGGCTGTTTGCTGGATATGCTTCTTCCCGACTCTATAAGATGTTTAAAGGATCAGAATGGAAGAGCATCACCTTGAAGACTGCTTTCCTGTTTCCAGGAATTGCTTTTGGTATTTTCTTCGTCTTGAATGCTCTTATATGGGGGGAGAAATCATCAGGTGCTGTCCCTTTCTCCACAATGTTTGCCTTGGTGCTTCTTTGGTTCGGTATCTCGGTTCCACTTGTCTTTGTTGGGGGCTATCTTGGTTTCAAGAAACCTGCCATTGAGGCTCCAGTGAAGACCAACAAAATCCCGAGACAGATCCCAGAGCAGGCTGGGTACATGAACCCTGCCTTCACCATTCTTATTGGTGGGATTCTTCCATTCGGAGCAGTTTTCATTGAGCTATTTTTCATCCTCACTTCAATCTGGCTTCACCAGTTTTACTACATCTTCGGCTTCCTTTTCCTCGTGTTCATTATCCTCATCATCACTTGTGCGGAGATTGCAATCGTGCTGTGCTACTTCCAACTGTGCAGTGAGGATTACATGTGGTGGTGGAGGTCCTATCTCACCTCAGGATCATCTGCGATCTATCTCTTCCTGTATGCTGGGTTCTACTTCTTTACCAAGCTGCAGATTACTAAACTGGTGTCAGGCATTCTGTACTTCGGCTACATGCTTCTGGCCTCATTCTCTTTCTTCGTGCTCACTGGCACAATTGGTTTCTGTGCCTGCTTGTGGTTCACGAGATTGATTTACTCATCTGTGAAGATTGACTAGGCGCAGAGTTGCTATACATCCGGCTTCCAAAAGTTCTGTATGATTATTGTGGAGAATTGTGAGACGAGGATCAGAATCCACTCTGTATTTTACCGATTTTCGAGAAAATTTATATCGTAGTTCTTAGCTTATAAACCACTTGTGTTCATTCACTATAAATGAGATGATACATCTTTGATATGAAGTTATATAAGGCTAGTTACGATTGTTAGTTTCGTATGGCAGAGCATATTATTCTCAATTCTTATGGATCTCTGTATAAATTCATTTTATTATATACGGGACCGAATACTACTGTTTTCTGATCATTTTTTACCCTTCCAAGATAGTATCACCAGCAGCTGCTTTGCTCCGGTTTTTCTTTGGGTGAGTTGAAAAGTTGCCATATTGCTGTGTGACGTACGTGTAATCAGTCAGTCAGTTATTGCGGTCCACCCAGGGGTCAACGGTCAACCACGTATGTCGTGGCCAGAGAAAACCAATGCAGAAGGCCGTCTCCTCCGTCGCCGTCGCTGTCGCCGCCGTCCGCCGGCCAACTCGTCGTTGTCATCTCCCAGCACTTCCGGTATCATATATGAGTGAGGCTTAGTGCTTCTCCCTCCTCAACGTCACCGCCGGCCGACTCGCCGTCGTACGTGAGGCTTTATGGTGCGTGGTGGCGGCGGTGGCCGCGCTGCTCGCCGCGCCACCGGTCGCAGCTGTGTTCATCCACGAATTCTACAAGGTACTGAATCTGATACGCTCTACATGGTATCTGTCTCCTTTGGAATTGATCTGCTGAACATTAATTGGTCTAATCTTCTGAATTGTTTGCTTTGTTTCTTGTGTTCATTTTCACAGGGAGATGAGGTTTTGGTGAAGATGAACGAGCTGATGTCCATCGAGACTCAGATCACCTACTCGTACTACTCACTTCCCTTCTGTAGACCTGACAATCTAACTGAAAGTGCTCCGACTCTTTGGCAACTTCTCCATGGTGATCGCCAACAGAGGTCCCCTTACCAGGTTAGTCACACACTGCCACCTGCCAGGGTTTTATCTTGGGTTCTATCATTTTTTTTTTGTCTGTGAAGATCTTGGATTATCATTTTTGGACTGCGAATTGATGATCCAACTTTGCGTTTTCACTGTAGTTTGAAATGAGAGTGCCCAAGAAGTGCCAAATTGTCTGCAGAGTGCTTGTTGGAGAAAAAGAAGCGAAGGAGCTGACGGAGAAGATGGAAGATGAGTACCGTGTGAACATGTAAGGATTGTAGAGGTTAGATTTACATTTTCTAAAAACACCGCAAAGTTTGTGAGAGATTTAATGAAGTTGAATTACAGGGCTCTTGACAACCTCCCATTAAGTATTCCAATCAGAAGGATAGATAAAGATGATTTTTTCTATCAGCATGGGTACCATATTGGTGTAATTGGCCAATTCTTTGGAGTGGGTTCATCTTCTCAAAACTCTTTTTTTAGATGAAAGATCATTATATTGATCTTCTCAAACTCTTTATTTCGCTAAAATCTTTAGTTAAAAAGACCCTCATGCATAAGCATTTTTCCGCAGGAGGAGCATAAGAGGTACTTCATCCACAATCACTTATCATTTTTGGTGAGGTACAAGAGGGATATCGACACAAGTGCTTCTACAATAGTGGCGTTTGAGGTCAAACCATTCAGGTTTTGCCAACTTTGCTTCCCACATTTTATTCAGCATGAATGAGTACCATCTTTACCGTTCTTCTGGTTAATTTCCTTTTGTCCCAGTGTTAAGCACCAATATGAAGCGCAATGGAACGGTGCAAACTCTCGTCTGAGCACATGTGATGCTAATGCCAACAGGTTCATCTTATCCTCTGATTCTCCACCGGAGATTGAAGTCGGTGAAGAAATCATATTCACCTATGATGTTAACTTTGAGGTGGCTTTCATCCTTCCCTTTTATCATCCTTTCACCTGTAAATTGTATCTTCTCCCTAAAACAGACATTAATCAGATATTAAACCTTTCTCTAATGATTTATCACATGCTTGTGCTACTGCTGTTACAGGAAAGTGATATCAAGTGGGCTTCTCGCTGGGATGCCTACCTGTCAATGACAGATGATCAGGCTCGCTGGTTTTCCATTGTTAACTCTCCTGTTACCCTGATTGGTCTTTCTGTTGCAATGGCCATGACTATGCTTCGAAGTCTGCATAGAGATATCTTTAGATACAGCCAACTTGAAACCCAGAATGAGGCTCAAGTGGAAACCGGGTGGAAGCTTGTTCATGGAGATGTGTTCCGGCCTCCATCCAACCCTGTCTTGCTCTGTGCCTATGCAGGGAGTGGTGTTCAACTCTTTGGTACTCATCACCGTAGCCTTCGCTGCGCTGGGCTTCTTTTCTCCATCAAATTCTGCAGGCCTGAGAAATGTTGTGTTGCTCACCTGGGTCCTGATGGGGATGCTTGCTGGCTACACCTCTTCTCGCCTCTATAAGATGTTCAAGAGCGGTTCAGAGTGGAAGCATATCACCATGGCAACAGCTATCCAGTTCCCGGGTTTCGCTTTTGTTATCTTCGCAATCTTGAATACTCTTCTACAAGATGAGAATTCATCAGCCACAGTTCCTCCAACCACAATGTGTGCCTTGGTCCTCCTCTGGTCCGGTATCACGCCGCCTCTCGTGTTTCTTGGAGGATATCTTGGGTACAAGAGACCTGCCATTGAGCCTCCGGTGGAGATCAACAAAACTCCACGAAAGATTCCCAAGCAAGCATGGTACATCAGCCCTGTGTTCTCCATCCTCATTGGTAGTATCTTTCCATTTACAATTGTTTTCATTGAGCTCTTCTTTGGCCTCATCTTCATCTGGTATCACCAATTCTACCGTGGATTTGGGTTCCTCCTCATCACGCTTGTTCTACTCCTCGTCGCCTGCGCTGAAATCTCCGTTGCGTTTTGCTACTATCAACTGCGAAGCGGCAACTACAAGTGGTGGTGGAGATCATTCCTTACACCAGGATGTTCTGCAGTCTATCTCTTCTTATATGCGACATTCTTCTTCTTCGCGAAGCTGAGCATTGTTAAGCCAGTGTCAGTCATGTTCTACTTTGGATACATGCTTGTCGTCTCATATGCCTTCTTCCTGCTTACAGGCACAATTGGTTTCTTCTCTTGTTTCTTCTTCACGAGGTTTATTTACTCACAGAGGGCATTTGGATGAACTTGAGATTAGAATTTTGGAATTGGAATTAGAATTCTGCTGTGATTGTAACTCCAGTTTGTTACAGTCACCTCTGTGTCCTGGAACAGGAGAGCTTGTCAATGGCAATTCCATTCCAGTTATTCCAAGTCCCAGTGATAATTTTTTTTCCAAGCTAAACATGAAGATGATAGTATAGCATGTGTGCTACTATGTCATTTCTGGTTTTGAATGTTGAGATGTGTATAGTTTGGGCAGAAACTTCTCTGTAACTGTTTTATAGTTCACAAAATGGAACATACTTAGCCTGTGTGGTAATAATCCTGTGTGGTAATAATCAGTTGATAATCAGTTGGAGCATACAATGTGAAAATTCAAGTCCAAAAATGGTAGTCTGCCAATTCAGAATAACATACCCCTATTCTTTTTTCAGAACAAGTGATCACGGTTAATGCATAATTTTTGGTTGTGATGAAGTACGTAGCACGCATGCTAGACCTATCCATGTTTACTGGGCATTACAGACTACCGGTACATCGATAACTTTTAACTAAACAAGCATTGCAGGCAAACTCCTTGAGCTGCAAAGGAGCAAAACACTAGATCAACTGAACAATGTTAATCGTTAACCTAGGGCAGTAAAACTGCTTGAGACTGAACATGTTCCCCATAGCCATCAACTCCATCATCATAGATATCACAGCAATATGTAGTTGTCCCCAACTTCCACGCACCTTCGCCGCCAACTCTCCTCCAAGCCTGCCGTCCAAACAACCTTCACCTGCAGCTCATAAGGACCTTGCTGACGAATACATTCTTCTTCATCATCATCGTGACCTACAACGAGCTCAAACAATTCAGCTTCTTCATGGTGGTCGCCCTCAGAAACAGAGACATTGAGCACCAGTGTATCATCCAGTTTCACAGCGACAAAACGACGAGTCAAATCGATTGATCCACCAGGTCCAAGTGCTCTGTTAGTGCCTTTCACTTCACTGTCATATAGAATGATCTTGTTTTCATCGTCTCCAGAAGTCCAAGCAGTTACTTTGCCACTGAACTTGGATGATACTAGCCCCTTAATGCTGACTGCAACTGAAGCTTCAACAGCACATGGAACAGGGGTATACACAAATTCAATTGTACTCAACAAGCTTTCCAGTGACAAAGTCATGGGTTGCTTTGTGTAACAGATGGTACTGTGTTCTAGCAGACCTTTGCTGAAATCTTTGTCGACACCTTCATCACCCTTGATCTTCAGATGGAACTCGAAATATATATTATCACTTGCAGCAAGTGCTCGATTAGGTCCTGTCAAAAGTAGAGTATCCTCCTGCATATGGATAGGGAAAACCATGTAAAAGATGACATGAGAAGGGACCAAGCTCGATAAGTATAATACAATTCAGTAACTGTCTATATTTCACTTCATAATGTGAGTCTAATATTAATTAGAAAAAGATACCAGACAAACTATTTAGTAACAAGGATCAAACAGTTGGTTGCAATATGGCGATTGACGTGATTTACTTGGAGAATATCTGAAAGTGGATTGTAAGGGTAAGGCCATGTCATTTTTATTTGACCGGAGGAATGGTAGTATTGATTAATCTAGCGAGGAGGAAGGAAGGAATTGGTTAAGCGACAGACCGGTGAGGTGATGATCTGGGCATCGTCCCTGCCACGCCTGAACAAATAGATACACCTGTAGTCGTACACATCCCTGGCCAACACAGTGCCAAATATGCTGATAGGGTAACTCACATCAGACTCGGTCACCTTGATCGCGATGACATTGACAGAGTCCATCATCCTCCAATATTCAGAGGAAGCAAGAGCCTTTTTCACTGGTGGTCCACGCCCAAGCTTTGCTGTAAATAAAATCAAGGCAGAGATAACAGAAATCAAACAAAAAAGAATATACTGTAATTTTTACACGTCTACATATATCTACCCAAGGCTAAAGATGTGATGACGAACAAATAGTAAGAGAGGATGCATACATCCATACAGCTATTGCTTGCATGTAACAAGGAAGATAAATTAAGGATTATATATGGATTGATGTACTGACATTCTTTATCAAGGTCAAAGAAGGCAATGTTGTGGGTGTGAAAGCGAGTAGGAAGAGAGCGAAGAAGCTTGTGGTTATATTCAGTAAAGCCTCTGCAGCGAACTATGTGAAGGACCTCGACCACCTTCTCTTCCCATGTCAGCTTCCACTCCTGTTTCTTCTTATCAACCGTATCCCTCATCTCGCACTTGTCCTCCCCATTCTTGTCACTTTCTGCCATAGCTTGCTTGTGTTGTGTGCTCTCCGACCTGGCAGCCAGCAACTTGTAAAAAAAAAACATGGAAGGTTTGGGGTTCTCATGTGTCCAATCCAACAAACAAAACAAAAAAAAACATGGAAAATTTGTGATTCTTATGTGCCCAATCCAACAAACAAAACAAAGATATGATGGATTGATCAATTGCGAAGTATGTGTTGTTTTAACTTTTACATGAATGAATGATAGATTGTTTAACTGCGGAGTGTGGGTTGGCACTCCCAATCTCAGTAATCTTTCTCTCAAGTCTATGACTTCATCTATGAGGCGGCGACAATAGGGCTTGTTGTTGTACATCGGCCATGATTTAATTTTGGATTATCGTAATGGCCGGCCGGTGATCGGGCACATGTACAGGCGCCGTGATGAGGCCGGTGAGATTAAGGGTTGGTTTGTATACATGGATGGGCCATAAACAACGATATCGGAGTGTACCGTAGATGTGGTCGCCGTGCCCTAAATCCTAATCGCCGCCGCGGAAAGAGGAATCGCCCCAACTTAATTAGCTGGTGGTATACATATTTAACGACAGTTTCTACAGAAAAAAAAAATATACTCCATTAATCTTAATAAATAAAAAAGCACTTACAGTGTTGATATGTCCGGGGCAGCCGGCGGTCGATCCCCTTGCGCGGCTCTTCTTCTCCGTCGCCGGCTCAATACGAGAGCTCTCACGGCCAGCTTGCGACTGCCCCTCGAGAGTGAGAGTGAGGTCGCCGTGAGGTGACGATTGCAGGTCGTCGCCGGCGACCAGATCGCCGCCGGGCGCCGGTTAATTCGTCGGAATGCCGCCGCTTCCGACGACGTCGTCTGTACGATAGGGACGAGAACGTAGAGGACTGATTTACAAAATACTCAATCAGCCCGAAAATAAGTTGGGAGCTTGTTCTGCCAAATTTTCTAAATTTACCGTGGGCTGTTCAAGTTGATGTCATTTCTAACCATACCATTATTTAGCAAAGTTGTTAAAGATGTGACTATATTTTTTTTCAAACTTTGATAAACACGTAACAAATCTTGCCAAAATGTTAGTAATATTGTCAACTTACCAAAATTTTGACAATACCAAATTTAGTAAGGTTTATTTTGAACACAATCTGAATAGCCTCCTAAAATTTTACACAGTAATATTTATCGGGTCCTAATCGAGAATCCATTCCGCTGCGACAGGTGCAAGGTGTTAGGGTTAGTGTTTGGTGACGGATGATAGGAGGGGAGGGGCCTCACCCATAGTGAAAGAAGAAGAAAAAGGGATGTCATGTGCTCCGAATACACCCTAAATGAGGAAGGCACCAACCTATGAAGACTGAGAAGTCATTCTATGAACTGTGAAGGGCCAAAGGGCAGGGTGTGGCTAGGACTTCTTTCCTCTCCAATCTCTTCTCCCATGCATTTCTTTGATTGATGGTGAATCAACCTTACCGGTGATTAGGAATATAACATTTTAATATCAGAGGCTTTGTTCGATCTGTGTGATGTGTTGATCGCATTCTCATCACCTTGATTGGTAAAACTCCTATAGTTGAGTTAGTGATTCTCTCAATTTCGTGCTCGATCGGTTTATACTAGACACCATGGCTCCAACAAAGGAGGGCATACAAGTTCGAGAAGTGCTAGCTATGATAAATTTCATGGAGGAGCGACTAATGGCGGTGATGGAACAGTTAGACACGAAGGTTAATGAGATGGAAATAATTGGCAAACAAGTGTATATGATTGCATCAAAGCTTGAACAACAAGGGAGCGGTTGGACAAGTTGCATACCAAGGTGGATCTATCGATGACATCCCTATGACAGGTGTAGCAAAAGCATACGCAAATAACGCCTTAAGGTGCTTAAGGCAGCAATCACTCCACTATCAACACCACAAGTATTATAGTGTGCTCTAAGTTATTCGTATGTAGATAGAATGATATAGATAGTTATGCAAATATCAATGTTTTGTTTTTGAAAAAAAAATGAAGGTTGATATTTGTTATCAATCCAATGGTTATAAAACATTAATATTATTCAAGTGACTTTCATTGTTCACATTTCAATATTTTATTTGCTACATAGTTTAAAACTCGATAAGGCAAATTCACGTCACCTTGGGCACTATCTCAGCGCCAATGATGATGGAGTTGAGACACTATAGGCTTGTTTGGTATAGCTCCAACTCCTAAATTTAGCTCCCGAAGTTAGGTCTGGAGTGCAGTTGTGCACAACTCTAGTTTATTTTATGATAGAGTTCCACCCAGCTCCACTCCCAGTTTTGGTGGAGCTAAAACTGTTTGGCTGAGCTCCAGCTCCAGGAGGGGTGGAGCTGGAGCTGTGCCAAACAGACCCTATATCTTAGTGTCATCAGGTTAGCGCTGAGATCATAGTTTATGTTATAAAGAGTAAATTTCACTTTGGTCAACCTTTATTTACCAAATTTTCACATTGGACTAGAGTTAGACTTATATTTTCACTTAACACCATATATAGTTACCATCATTTGCACTTTGGACCGGGTTTCACAAATTACACATAGTATAATGATTGTAGATCTGATTTCATTTATTTTTTGTGTTAGAAAACTTAGAATTCAACAATCTGTACTAACACTACAGTTGGGTATCGTAAAACATGTAATATCTTTTCTAGAAAAATAGTTCTTAAACTCAATATTTCTCCAATTTTGTCTCTAGTATAAGGGTTGTGAATGTTCATATGTAGTAGTAATGAAGTCCCATTAATCTGATAGGATATCTTATAACATGTTACAATCAATGTTCTTGCGCTAAGCATATTTGCATGGCAAAAAATTCCATATCATTGTTTCTTGTAAAATGCTAAGCACCAAGACAACAACTCATGTGATGGTAACTATAACCAGGTCCAAAGTGCAAACAATGGTAACTATACATGGTGTTAAGTGAAAACATGAGCCTAGCTCTTGCCCAATGTGAAATTTTGGTCAATAAAGATGGTCCAAAGTGAAATTTACTTTTTATAAATTAGTTTCTGTGATAGGTTATTTTTTAAATGGGTTTTTATAAAGAGCGTTGCTCTGGTCCAGCAGAAAGTGGCGCGGGGTACTGGTACCGTGAGGTACCAAAGCGAACTCCATCGGTGGGCAGAATCGGAAGTGGTGAAAGTTTTGATGCGCGCTGGTGGGGCCGTGGGGGTGAAAATGCGGACTTCTCGCCACAGAAAGCGCATCGCTGTGCCGCGAGTGTCCTCGCCACAAAGTCCTCTCCTTCGTGGCGCCGCCGGCGCCTTCTCCTTCTTCGCTGCGTCGCCGGCGTCCTCTCCTTGTTCGCTCTGCCGTGGCTCGTCTGCCCCTTCGGCCTTCGCTGCGCCACGCCACCCTAGTGCGACCTTTCTCCGCGGCACTGTTGTCTCCCCCTTTGCCGCGCCACCGTTGCCTTTCCCCATCTCCGCGCAGAGCGTCCGTCGTCTCCCCCTTCGGTGCCCCTTCGCTGCGCCGCCCCACCGTTGTTTTCCCCTTTGCCCATCTCCGCGCGCCGTGCGTCCGTCGTCTCCCCCTTGGGTGCCCCGCAGCCGCAGCCCTAATTTGTCCCCAGCACGATGCACACAAGGTAAGTTTGAACTGACTGTGTGGTTTTGTGCATTATGTGCTTGGGTTGGATTTGTTGTGTAAAAGCAGTGTATTTATTTGGATTTGTTCGATTCACAAATTCAAACTGGGTGATGAGATGGGAGATAATTTTGTGAGCATTGAGGATCAAGAGCACTATGCAATGATGAAAGGTATGAGATTCAAGAGTGAGGAAGATGGTTTCATCTTTTACAATAGGTATGCAAAGGAAAAAGGGTTCAGTGTTAGGAAGAACAATGCAAGACGTGATGCAATGAGTAAAGATGTTATCCAGAGACAGTATACTTGTTCTAGAGAAGGACATAGGAGAGACATTTATATGGAAAATTCATGTAAGAGTAGAGAACCTAGAGCCCTTACTCGTTGCTCAGTTTGAGATTTAACTTGACAAGAAAAGGGGTGATTGGTTTGTCCTTAAATATGTGCCGCAACATAGCCATCCACTAGCTAAAGTAGATGAAGTGGCTTTCCTGCGCTCTCACCGCAGAATTAGCTATGCTCAGAAGGCCAATTTAATGGAGCTGAAAGGAGTGGGATTGCGGCAGCATCAAGTAATGGATGTGATGGAGAGGCATCGTGGTGGTTTTGAAACAACTGGGTTTGTTAGTAAGGACATGTACAATTTCTTTGTTAGACAAAAGAAGAAACAGATTGTTGGTGGTGATGTCGATCGTGTTATCAAATACATGCAAGCTAGACAGAAAGATGATATGGAGTTCTTTTATGAGTACGAGACAGATGAAGCCGGTCGCCTTAAGAGATTATTTTGGGCTGATCCTCAATCCCGTATTGATTACGATGCTTTTGGTGATGTTGTTGTTTTTGATAGCACATATAGGGTAAATAAATACAATTTACCTTTCATACCGTTTGTCGGTGTTAACCATCATGGGTCCACCATCATTTTTGCTTGTGCTATTGTTGCGGATGAGAAGATTGCAACATATGAATGGGTACTTAAGCGCTTTTTGGATTGCATGTGTCAGAAACATCCTAAAGGGTTGATTACAGATAGTGATAATTCCATGAGAAGAGCAATTGCAACTGTCATGCCCAACTCGGAACATAGGTTGTGCACTTGGCATATTGAACAAAATATGGCAAGGCATCTCCGTCCGAAAATGATTTCAGACTTTAGAGTTCTAGTTCATGCAACTTATTCTGCTGAGGAGTTTGAGGAAAAATGGGTGGAGTTCAAGCTGAAACGCAAAGTGGCAGAAGATAACCAATGGCTCGGGAGGATGTACAACTTAAGGAAGAAATGGGCGGCTGCATATACTAAAGGTATGTATTTCCTTGGTATGAAAAGCAATCAACGTAGTGAAAGCCTCAACTCTAAACTTCATAGACACTTGGATCGTAAAATGAGCTTAGTTCTTTTGGTTGAGCACTATGAGCACTGCTTGTCGCGTATGAGACATAGGGAGGCAGAGCTTGATTCGAAAGCTTCACAGTCAGTTCCATTCACAGCCAACGATGCTAGTCTAATTGAAAAGGATGCTGCCCGTATATTCACACCATCAGTTTTTAAGAAGTTGAAAATGGATATTATTAAATCGAAAGATTGTGAGGTGATAGACTGTATAGATGAGGAAAATATTATTAAGTACATCATTTGCATGAAAGGAAAAATTGACAAGATAACAATCTTGACTTGTTCATATGTTGAATCATCATTGAAGAATATGAGCTGTACATGCAAGAAAATGGAGTGTGAAAGCCTTCCATGTCAGCATATGTTCACAATTATGGACTATTTGAACCTTCAAGCCATTCCAGATGTGTGTGTAGTGCCTAGGTGGACAGTTAAAGCCAAAATTGCATTTCCTTCAGATAGGTATGGTGAGGTTTATACCTGGTCTGATCAGATGGAAAGATATCGTAGAATGCGTGCAATTGGATCTGAGGTTTTATTGAAGTGCTCGATGTCAGAGGAATATACTTTGAAGGTGATGGAGATGTTTGAAAAACTGGACTTAGAGACAAATGCAATTGAGGGGGATGAATTTGATGTAACATTGTGCGGTCACGTTGTAGCTCAAAGTTTACGCTCTGACATTGCTAGTGTACAGAAGGTTCATGATCCTATGGAGGTAGTACCTAAAGGTGCACCAACTAAAAGGTTGAGAGGTTTTTTGGAGAAGGGTAACCGGCGTTGTGGTTATTGCCGTGTTCGTGGACACACGGTTCGTTCTTGTGCCATTTACCTAAGGTAAGGTTCTAATATATTTTGGGTAATGCTTTTTTTTGTGTTGTTTTTTTGTAATTGGTGACAACTGACAAGGACTAGTTTTGTTGTTATTTCAGAAAAGTTGCAGTAGATGTATGAAGTGCAAAGTGGAAGCAATCAAGCTCCATGTCTTATCCAGTGGGCTATTTTGTGCTATTTGAATTCTGTAAATCATGAGTCGTGGCAGGACTCGTTTGTTGTGTTTGAAAACTGTATTGGAGCTGTGCTTGGTCTATTATGTTTGCTATTTTGTACTCGTCTGTTGTGTCTGAAAACTGTACTGGAGCTGTACTTGTTTTGTTCAATTATTCATGACTTTGGTTTGCTAATCGATCACGAACTGTCCTCCTATCTCACTGTATTGGAGCTGCTATAGTTAATCCATTATTCAAGTGTGCTATACATGCTCAATCTGGGAACGTGTGTGCTTTTCAGTGGTGAAAATCATATGTGCGGGAGGAGATGGCATATATACATTTTGAGATATCATGATCGAGTACCAAAGTTTAACAAGGGCCAAGGGCCAAGAGATAGCATGCGAAATATAATTTCATTCATAGTTGTGGTCCAAATACTTCATTTAGCACAAAAGGCAACTTGCAACAAGCAGCACTCATACATGCAATTCACGAATAGCACGTGTGCTCACATATAGCAGACACTACACAACTGACGGACAGCAGACATGCTCACATATAGCAGACAGTAGACTATAGTAAGGTTGCAGTTGATAATCTCCTTCAGAGCAAATCAAGACAGTAGACTAGAAGGTTCAGTAGACACTTGTACGTCGGACCTGATATATGTCATAGACCACACTTGTGCATAGCCCAAATCAACCCGACACGATGTTTGTCGTAGAGTGCACGTGTCGAAGAGTGCACGTGTGCTACGACACTTGTACACCAGACCCGGTAGTTGTCATGGAGTGCCTGCGTACACGACACTTGTACGTCGGACCTGATATATGTCATAGACCACACTTGTGCATAGCCCAGATTAACCCGACACGATGTTTGTCGTAGAGTGCACGTGTGCTACGACACTTGTACATCACACTTGTGCACATGGGTGGACCTACCATGATTCCCGGGTATGTGCGAACGGTTGTGACATCGCGTGTTGTGACATCGCGTGCAAGTGTTGTGACATCGCGTGCAACGTGTTGTGACATCGCGTGAAACATTTGCGTACAAGTATGTGCGAACGGTGCCCTTCGTCAGGTCCATCACAGCTCATAAGCAGTGCAGAAATGTGCTTTGGAACTTGTTGTGGTCTGACTCATGACAGGCAATAGTAATGGGGACTTTAAATTTGTTAGACAACGGTAGTGCATGCAGTCCTGACTTAATTCCTCGCTACACTTACCGATGAGAACTGTACAGTCGCCTATTCAAAAGCATGTAGTTATCGAACAGACAAGTCATTAAATTAATCAAGTTAGCCATAATACAACTGCTAATACATGCTTACTAAAAATACAGACTGAGATAGAGTCAGATAATTTTGTTTCGTGCTCTAGTATCTCCGTGGCGCCAACCATGGCGGATCAAGACGGCAACGCACGTGATGAAGGCCCACCTCAGGTGCCACAGCAAGCTCATGTGTCGTTTGCCCTTAAGGTATGTCTAAAATCATTCAAATCATGCTTTTGTCATATCCATTCAAATCGTTTTCCTATCCACTGATTTCATGCTCCTGTCCTCTAAATCTTTTACCTGGAAAATAACAGATGAGCTCCATGACTATTGCTTGTTCTATTCCAAAATTTGTTTCACTCGTTCAAAATTTCGATTCGTGTCAAAAAGAAGCTATTGAAAGAATCGGTTTTGGTGGTTTATTGCAAATGCCTGATATTACACTTCAAAGGATAACGTGTGGGCACATCGCTGACCAGTTCGATGTAACTACAGAATGCGTTGAGATTGAAGGTATCCAGATTCCAATAACAACATTTGATGTTCAGTGCATAATGGGTTTACCAGCTGGAGAATTGTTGATTACCCCTAGGCCAGTTTCCGATGATGAAGACTACAAGTACTACTCGGTGTACAAGGACCCAAAAAAAAAGAATATCAGTCTAGCTATCTTGCGGGAAGAACTCTTAAAAGCAAAAGTAGCCGACGAACATTTCTTGAGAAGATTTGTCTTGTTTGAAATAGGATACATTCTATGTCCGACAACTAAACCATTTGTCAGCTCAAATTACCTTGCTTTGGTGAAGGACATCAACCAAATAAAACACATCAATTGGGCTGCTCTCACTAGAGATTTTCTGATCCGTTCTCTCAAGGAGCTTAAGGGCGGAAGGACTAATCTGGAAGGAAATCTACCACTCCTACAGGTAACGTAACTACTCCATACTTTTAGTTCAACACAGATCAATATTATTTTTTACAGCTTACTAGACACGTGTTAACATTTCTGTTCCTACTGCTACTACTTTCCAATTCTGGTTATGGGAACATGTGCAGGTCCAAGATTCTAAGTACAAGATGACATATGGTGATAGGACACCTCCTCTCATGTCGTATTGGAATGAGATGAAGGTCAATTCATGGCTTAAGTACGACAGCAAACATGGCATATCTGGACTAGTAAGGTTCTTATGTAGTACTAACACGACCAGAACTTCTCCTTACATGTTGTTCAAATACAGGTTGTCCAAGAGATCACTCTTCCCTTGCAAAAATGCGATCCAATAGTTCAACATGACAATGAAGAGCATGCCGAACAAGCAGCGGACAATAAAGATAACAACATTCCAGTTACAGACCACGGCCCCCACTTGGGAAGACAGAATCAATCAAGAAATTCACACACTTTCCAGATCAGATACAGACCATGGCCAAACATATGAATCCCCACAATACCAAAATTATGCTACAAGTCCTGAAAGCAGCCAGCAACCCAAGGTATTATTTGTTTCATTTCAAACAAAGTAGCTTGAAATTGCAGTTTCTTACTTCGCTCTCTACAGAATTCAGCCAATATGGATATTGTACTGGGCCAGCTACTGCAACTTCAACAAAGCATCCAGTTCCTTGACAATAAAATGACAAACAAGTTGATATCAATTGAAGGCATATGCAATCAAAATAGAAAAGATATCCAGGTAATACTTTTAAGGGTCACATCTCACATTTTTGTGATAGAGCAATGCTTATATCTAACTTATAATAGGAGATTAAAAAAAGGTTGAGATCAGCATTCCATGTAACAAGCGCAAAGCACCCAAAGGTCGAGATCATCCATGAGCAGTTCAACATTACAAATCAAGAGGAAGTAAGGACTGCACAAGCTGACGACACAAAGAATACCCAAACAGAGAGCGTGAAAACTACGCGAAGTGACAAGGTGAAACACACACAATCTGACAGCATGATGGAATCAAAGGTGAAAACTGAAGACATCAAAGAGACAAGCCAAACTCCTCTAGTTATCCTAAGCGACGATGACAACAGCAATGGAAACACAGAGGTCCTCTAATTCTTGCACTTACAGTCATATTTAATAATCTAATATTGTATTGTATAATTGTTAATGTTATACCATCCTTGCAAGCTGAACCCAAATACAAAGATCCTAATATTTTAGGAAAAAGGGTCATCAAACCAGCACACAAAGCATAAGATGACTTCGTGTACTACAAGAAGAAATTCACAGTTACTGCATCGTCCACAAAACAACCAAAGATAGACGATGTTGATGCCATAACGATTAATTATATTTCCAATTGCAAAGACAACATATTACTTTCAGCTATCAATGGAGTCAAACTTTATTCCCAGTTTCTTAGAGCACTTGTTGTCCCTCAAGAAGCACCTCCAACATCCAAGTGGTTAAATGGCAGTGTAAGCATTCTTCACAATACTACCAATGTTTTTATTTAAATTTCAATCCTGAGTATTATTCATCTTCCATCATAGATCATAGACGCATACATTGAGCTCATCAAAGACGAGCAAGCCGACACACCAAGAGGAAATGGGATGGCATTACTAGAATCTGAAGCACATTGCCAGCAATGGAAATCTGATGGTGCAAAAAAAGGAACTTTCAGCAAAACATACCGTCAAAGAAGAGCCACAGTTGCATCCAAATACCTCAACCATGATATGGTATAACTAAATCCTAATGTATCCATCCATACTACCAGTAAATCAAAACATTTATTTTTCATTCATTCCATGCAGATCTTCCTACCGCTAAATAGAAATAAGGACCACTGGTATGTTGTTGTACTCAATGCTGGAAAACAAAAAATACAGATACTAGACTCAATACGTATGGATAGGAACACATATGAGGCTAACAAAGACCTCAACGATACGGTATGTTACATTCTACCGTATCATCTGCGTGTTTATACAATGCATTCACTTTGTACATTCATATATACAATCAGCGATTGTGTTTTGAAAACACAGATTAAAGGTATTGACAAGTTCATCGCATATGCAACCGAGGACAAAAGCATTACCACAAGATGAAAAAATACAAATGTGACCGATTGGCCTTTGTGCCCAATGCAAGTTCCACAACAAAGGGACGGTTGGTCCTGTGGTTTACATATGTTGAGGTTCATAGAACACTGGACTGGAAAAGAGCTATCACCTCAATTCCATGGAATGGTATGTTTCCTCAATCAAAACATAAATATACAACCTACTTCATTGCTCTAAATATTTCTAATTCATCTTTCAGGACACATGCACTACATTTAGAGCGAAGCTGGCATCCACCCTAATCAACTCTTCCATGAATGAGGTCATCAACATACAAGAAGACATCAGACGCATACAAACTGAGCAAATGCAACAAAAGAAGGACGAGTGACTAGACTCTTTTGCAAATTTCGTTCCATGCAGTTAGAAAATTGTTTTGTATCTTTCTGAACTTCTTGTCGCTCATACATTTGTTACCAAGGCAGTGGGCAAAAAAAATTCAGAAAAATTGCAATGTAATGTCACATTTCCACCCAACATTTCTATCTTTCTGAACTTCATGTGCCTCAAACATTTCTTCCCAAAGCAGCTAGCACAACAATACATGCAATTTTATGCCACAAAACTATAGTTCCCAACGCATTTCCACCCAACGTAACTGTAGCGACGAACTTACCGCTGCGGCGCCGTTGCAGTCTGTTCCGACCACCATATCGCCCCTTGACCACGACGGCAAACCTCTCTCGTGGCTGGCGACAACGAGCGGACCAGGGCTGTACCGACGAGAAGCGAACCGGCGTCAATCAGCCCTGGACTTCACAGTAAGAACTCCGCGGGAGCGCCGCCCTTCACTCCTCTTGCCTTTGCCCTGGAGTCCGCGGAAGCGCCGCCCTTCACTCCTCTTGCCTCCGCCCTGGAGTCCGTGGAAGCACCGCCCTGGAGTCCGCGGAAGCGCCACCCTGGAGTCCGCGGAGATCGGATGGGGAATCAGATCAGGAAGCGCCGCTGGCACCATTCACTTCTGGCGACGGATGGGGAATCATATCGGGAAGTGCCGCTGGGGAATCAGATCGAGAAAGAATTTGCATCCCTAGGGTTCCTCCAGCTTCAAAGCGAAAGATGCTCTAATGATATGCGAAGTTACGCATATGCCCTTCCACCCTTAAACCCACTCGCGATACAGCTCAAATTCATCCACAGTACCTCGCGGTACCCCTGTTTTCAGTCCGTTCGATCCGCTCCAACGGACGGCCCAGATTTCGTACCGCGAGGTACCGTACCTACCTGCTAGACTGTAGAAAACCTCTTTTATAAAAGGCCAAAAGGGTCAATATGCCAAAGGTTCGGTACGGTTTGGAAAAGGAACAGCAACACAGCATTCCGCCGCGCCGCCGAAATCGCCATGGCTCCTCCCGCCTCCCGCCCGCCGACGCCGACGCCGACGCCGACGGCGAATGCGGCGGCCTCCTCGTCGCGGATAGAGTCGCCGTCGCTCAGGGCGGCCCTCGCCATGGCTCTCATCCACTACAACCGCCTCCCCTCTCGAGCAGCAGCAGCCGCTGCCCCCTCTCCCCAGGCTCTCCTCAACTGGAAGCGCAAGGTAGGTCGCATTCCCCATTCCACAACCCCGCCGTCGAACCCTAACTCTCATTCTCTCCTCTGATCCCGTGCGTGCAGGCCAAGGACCGGAAGCGCGAGATCCTCCGCCTCCGCGAGGAGCTCAAGCTCCTCCAAGGTACGTATCCGCCGCGCCGCGTTCGTTTACTCGATTTCCAGTCCCCAATTCGTGTATGGGTGTGATCAGACGGGGCGCGCGGGGAGGAGATGGAGCCGCCGGTCGCGTCGTGCCGATGCCACTTCTTCGACGGGTGCGGGGACCTTCCACCGCCGACGGACGGCGATGCTGGGGAGCACTGGGTCGACGACGTGCTGCGGAGGAGATTCGTCAGATTGGGTACGGTTTTTGGCTTCGATACACTGGTTTTTTTTTTGAATTTTTGTTGCTTCTAGTAGAATTTTTTTTTTTTGAAACCTAAGGCGGAACTTTGTTCCACTTTTATATTTAGAAGAAGAGAATTGACCCAGTTTATAAGGAAAACCGGGCCCGAAAACCACACAATTGCACGGTTAATTATAGGAGCTTCTAGTAGAATTTTACATGTATAAGCTCTATTGCAACAGTGCGGTGGAAGGATAAGCGCAGGAGACTGGACAGATCACTGCCCACGAGTAGTTTGATGGGTGGGTATCGCTGCAAACATATGTTCTTCTCACTCACTACTCGGATTTCAGATTACTGTAGAATAGTTTTTAACTGCTCAAATCTTAGTTTCAATTGTTCGATTGTGCAGAATATAACACTGAGGATGAGGTACAACAGCTTAGCTTGTCGATTGATTTCCTGGTGGAGTTATCAGATGGCTTGTTTGCCAAAGTAAAATTCTGTTGTCTTATTATATCTAAGAATGTAAGATATCCCATTTTTTGTGTTTCTAAAATTAGATTTGTTTGTGCAGAGAGAAGCTGGCTCCTCATTTACTACATTTTCTCACCAGGCAGTAGACTTCATTCTGGGTAAGTGAGAGTTGCACAGTTATGCCACGACTGAACATTTAATAAATTATATCTGTTAATTGTGCCCCACATATGCTTCAAGCGGTATGAGTTCTCGTCACTGATAATAACGTTCAACATATTTGATTTTTCTGTGGTTATTTACATGGCAAGTTGATACTGGAACCTGAATGCATCGTCTTGTAGTTAGCAAAGGAATTATGAATTTACTTCCAGCCTTACCTTTCAGTTTTCACATATTTTGTTGATTGTTTAATGGTAGCCGTATAAGATGGCTCTAGAAACTATTTTCAGTTTTTCTATTGCACTTGCCACACATTTTATTTTGTGGGGTTAAGAGCACACTTGCCACACAAATCGTCAATATGTTGCATATGAAGTTATCTATTTTTGTTTTCTGTTTATTCCATGTTAGATTGATGCAGCCATGTGTGATAATCAATGGTTTCAGCTTCACTGAAGAACATTCTCTCGTCAGAAAGGGAAAAGGAGATAATCGAGGAGATAATCAATGGTTTGGTTGCACGTTTGATGAAAAGGATGTGCACCACTCCTGAAAATGCTGGTACTTCAAGTTCAGATGATCTTTAATTGATCCATTTCAGACCATTCCTAGAGCATTTTGGATATATGTTTTTCTTTCAGAAATTACATCCATAGTGATGAATCATGAAATGGTGCCATTAGTTGCACATTAGCAGTGTTTTAGCTAGTAGCACCATTACTATTCCTTAACAATGGACTTGACTTTCTTTTCGCTTGGTTTGTTTTTTGGGAACATTTATCTATGTTATGACATCTTATAGTTTTGCTTATTTTTATCACTTGAGTGTTAACTGAATTTATTTTCAGAATGTGCTCTGCTATTGTCACCAATTCTATATTTATTTGTGCTCCTTTCATTTTGTTCGTATATTGCAGGATCAGTTGACTGTTCAGATGCCCAATTCTCCCTGCAGCACTTATTCCGTAAGTTAGGAAATGAGGAGTTTGTTGGTCAGAGGATAATCCTTGCAATTTCTCAAAAGATCTCAAATGTATCAGAAAAATTACTTCTGGCAGATCCATTTGATGATGGTTTCCCTGAAATGCATAGCAATATGTTTATTATGTAAGTTGATTTTCAACTCCTTCAGATAGATTATAACAGAGGAATTTCTGCACAATTTGTCATAAGATAATGTCCGACTCTGAGCAATATGGTCTGCATACAGTTTTTTTCTCCTCTTTTCTGATAATTTACTGTACTGTCAGTTGAGATGCAGTCATGTTTTCAGAACATATTTGTCATAATTTTTTGCCCAACACAATCTATACTCTGAGATTGCCAGTTGGGCAGTTACAACAACTTGAAGATATTAGACATGACATATCTCATCAGAAGAAGAATTTATGATCTCCAGTTCCATCATACTTGGGGCATGCTTTGTGTTGTTGCATACTTAGCAAATATTTAATTTGATTTTCTTTACTCCCTGTTTCCTATAAGGATTATTTCTTTTGTGCCTTACTTTGTTTTTATGTTGCAGGATACAATTAATCGAGTTCCTAATATCTGACAGCTTCAACAATTGGCTATGCCGTGATCATTTTGACAGAAGTTAGTCCTCTGTTGCCCTGATGGCGCTGTTTTATATTTGTTAATTGTTATTCAATGTGAATTGTGCTGCATCCAACATGATAACATGAAAACAATAAACTATATCCACATATATGTTTTTTCTTCATTCAATTCTTCTGGTTGCAGTTAAATATCTTTGGTTTCTACATTGTTCTTTGGAATTGCACTTTATCATCTCATACTAATTATTTGAGTCGAGTCACAGCTTATAAATTGTATAATTCTATCCCTGAATCTGAATAGCTAAATATTGAAAGATACATGCTGATAATGGTGCAAACATAACTCATCATTGCATCTACTATCTCTTTTTGGCATTTCATCACATGAGCTTGATCAAATCTAAATACAACATTTATTCAGAACTTTTTGAAGAATGGGTCAGATCTATTCTCAAGGCACGAAAGGACTTGGAAGTCCTAGATGGGAGAAACGGACTGTATGTGGTATACATTGAGCGAGTGATTGGAAGATTGGCAAGGGAGGTAGCTCCTGCTGCTCATCAGGGGAAGCTGGACCTAGAAGTCCTCTCCAAACTCCTTTACTGAGAACATGCTGCCTCTGACTCGCCAATGTATTCACCCACATGTCATTTGGATGGCAATTCTCATGAATTATTAGAGGCTTGTACTCTACAAACTTGGAAACTAACATATCACATTTTGTATATCAATTTCAGATTTTCAGGATGACTAGCTAAGGGAAGATGATGTAGCAAGAAGGTGTTTTGTTCTCCTTTGAATGGCTGGGAAACCAACTACCGAAGCATGCTCAAAAGTATGTTTCATTAACCCCATGTGTTAATGAGTAGTTATCACAAACCAGTCTGCTATAATTTGAAATTGTATTTCTTCACCAAGACCCTTACATGCCTACATTATGGTCTATAACACAGACCTTAGAATCTATTAGGGGATCCAATATTGTGATAGGCATTGTTTGGTATGTTTAGCTAATTGTTTTACTCTTTACTCCAATTTACTTATGTCATATTTATATATGCATGTTTTATGTCTGCTCTAAAAAAGGAAGGGAGTTTTTCTTAAATACTTAAGAGGCAATAATGCATCAGCCCCTTTTGTCATGTGTGTGTGCCGTGCAAAGGGCAGTTTTGTCTATTATGCTTTCATGTACTGTCGTTTTCTTCATTTCTAGATGGTGATGTTTAAATTACGGTGTGAACTCTCAATAACAAGAAAATAACTAAGCGTGTTCTGGGGTGGTGACTTTACTCAACAAGTCAGTTGCTTTACAAATTTGATCTCGTAAGTGCCCCCTTGTGGCTATATGATGACGTTCTGGAATTAGGATTGCAAATAAACTGCCTAAAACTTTGTGTAGCTGAGATAATATAGTACACAGCCTCTCTGTATGTATTCTATACGTGATATTCTCAAATGTTTACACAATGTAAGTTTATGAAACAATTTTTAATTGAGAAACGTTAAGAAATCAAGTATTCTCTGCTATTTCAGAGACATATGTTAGGTCCTTATTCTGAAGGGTTATCTAGATTAGAAATTGTTAACAGGGTGTTGGCTTTAATTATATCTCAGCAACATGGTGCAGACAACATGCACCATGGAAGATTAGGGATGAGTTTAAAGTCTTAATAGCCAAAGAATATTAGTGTTCTTTCACTCTCGTTTTGGCAAAGAATGAGCTTGCACTCTTCACCCTAAGAAAAGAGATAGCCCTTCCTAGCTCTAGTTACCAAATCAGTGTTTGAGTAGTTACATCACCTTTTAGTCAGCAGCTAGCTTAGCTCCGTTCTCAACTGGTATAACAACAACTCTCATGAGCCATGAGGGGAGATAGTAGTTAACCAATCCCAGGATCTTCCGAGTTTTTATCTTGGTTAAGCTCAACTGATCTCTTCATCCCATTGACAAGACCTGTATGCTTGATCAATGCAAGGTCCTTTTCAGGTAGGCCAATACCATCCAGCATCTGGCATCTGCTCCAATCAACAAGTGACGTGCACCGCCGTTTCAGAGCCTAAATCCGGCCTTCTTCCTCAACGGTGAAATATCTGAAATCTGAATCCCAGATCTGATGTATTATATCCTTCTTACCATTTTAACATGAACGATTAAAACGACAGGTGCACGTTACTGGAAAGGTTAACTCGTTGTCATGTCAGGCTAATAGAGGATGGGTGAAAGCATAACCAGTTTCAAGAATCAATATCAGCTTTCATTTCAAGTACTCCCTGGAGTTACAGAGGTGGTTTCTATGAGCCCTAAAGTAAGACCATCTTCAGAATTTATGGACTTCCGTGGCAATCGGTGAGTTCTGATAAAACGTCAATTGAAATCGTACCATGTATAGTAGTAAAGTTACATAAGGCTGCTTGACTCAATTTATGTTGCAACTAAAAACTACTTTGTTCCAAACATTCCATTGCTTAGGAAGAATACTAAAACAGCGTTAATGCAATTATCAATTCATGCATGTTAGACATAAAGCTTTATTTACTTGAGCTCCAGTTCATAAACTTACACTCAGAGGCAGCTGATGTAATTTCAATTCAAGTTAACCATGCCTTAGCTGGTACTTGAACCCCAAGAAATATAAACTAATGGTATATGCACCAAAATATGTACTCAAGACATGAAAATCTTTCCTTTCTTGTTTGGGTGGGAGGGGTCACCAGTACTGGACTACTGGTTATAACTATCAATTATACGTGATAATAACGCGTACATGTCATGATAAGCTGATATGATGGTGACAAGCCCCATTTGTCCATTTGCCTCATAGGACGGCAGCACCATGTGGTCCATGAGATATCTGAGGCCCCATGAAGCCATAGAGCTTGCAACAAGCACAGATAGCCCTTGCATTCTTGTGATCGGAGGATGTTTGCCTCTGTTTGTGTCACCTACAAAGAAGGAGAAAAAGGAGGCTCTGGAGTGAACTCCACTTGCCTACAAAAGACTTTTGCTTCTGAATTCTGGTATTAGTTGGGGAGTGGTGTTTAGCACTTGCACGTCAGGATGTGAACATGCATTGAGAGGGGGTAGATGCTGCTGCTGTGAGCATTGATGAAGCTTTGCTAATTGGCGACAAAGAACCAATTATCGACTGGACTTTTGTCCAAAGTGGTTTGCTTTAGTTAGTAGCGAATGCATGCATTGCCCTGCCATTGTGTTTCGTCAGCTACATGCTAGGAATATTCAACGAGACAGAGGGGGATGGTTAGCCAGCTTTGAAATGAGGACTAGAGGAATAGGCTCTCAAATCAGGTCTCCTGATCTGGTTTGGTGTGCTTCGCGTCCAAATGCAAGAAGCTCTTTGGCTTATACAATATTATTATATATCTATTGTCGAATTGGTAGCATGCTTAATTCCATGCTGTGTGATTATTGGCACAAAAGTATCTGACAGACAGATGGAATCCACCAAGTGAAAAAAAATCACAATAATTAGTAATTAGCTAACTGCACCAAAGAAACTATAGCTAGCTACTGAATGTCTGCATGCCCTGACGCACGGGCGGATGGACCCATGAACTGAAAGCTACAAGATTAACTAAACAAGATCGTGTAGACCTCGACAGGTAAGTGATTGGTAATCACATGGAGTGTCCTAATAAGTTGCAGATGCCCAAAGGACAAGGACAGGAGAATGTAGAGTACTCCAATAGTTTTTTGGAATCAATGGTGTGCCTTGGAAAAGTATATAGGACAAACAGTGAGATATAGTCTGATAGATCACTCGAGTTCATGACATGAATCCTTGAGCATGCAGAACTACAGAAGTGTGATCAACTTGTTTTTGCATGTTCAAATATAATGCCATGCATAACAGTAGTGTCTGACATGTTTGCTTTCTGTCATCTTGTTTTCCTATTATATACGTTCGATATGAGCCCTGTTACTGTCGTGTGGCTAGAATTAATTCTGTTAGATGCATGATTCGCGCGTGGCTAGAAATGACATTTGTGTATACATCATCGTTTCTTTATCATAATTTCTTGCCATCGTGCCATGGCAAATTAACTGCTTGTTACCAAACCATGCATTACACAGCTCGACAGCGAGATGCTTTGCCTCACTGTTAGCTTGATCGGGATCGATTCACCTCACAGGTACGTTGATTAATTTTGCTTAAAATAAGCATATGCTGGGTTATCAGTGTGAACTTTTTTTCTCTGTTTTTTTCTGGGATTTGAAAGCACGACGTATGAAATTACTAAATTAGACTATATAGTGCATGATAGTTGAATGATATCAAATGCTGTTTAGGTTAGAATTGTTTTCTTCTCTTATCACCAAGCGCATAATTTGAAAATGCAATCCGAATTTTTTACAGTTAGCGTTAATAATTAATTGTACGTACATAGGAGTACCCATTAAGGTGTGATTGAGGTGCGTCTCTATACACACACTACTAAAATCATATACAGTATATCACACAAACAAAATTAATTAAACCAGCTGTGAGAGCGAGCACACATTTCACAAATCGATTGAATTGGAAGTTGAAACACAAGATATGCATTGCATACACACAAATTGCCTGTCGATTTGGCTAGCTTTTTTGTGTCAAACGGACACAAGTAACATTAAAGCACTAGCAAGCTGGTGATAGTGTGGACTAGTGGTAGTAGTGGCAGTAACCATGCACACGCATGACAAGCGTGTGGACGCGACACCGGCTAGCAGTATAGCTTACAACTTGAGAGAAAGGTCGATGTCCTCGGCGTCGCCGCCGGCTGCCGCGGCGTGCACGCGGTACCCGTAGCGGCGCCCGCCGTCGGCGATCCAGCTGACGACGGCCGCGGCGGCGCCGCCCTGCGGCGGGTAGGGCCAGCCGAGCTCAGGATGCGGCGGCGGCGGCGCCGCCGCCGTCGTGACGCCGGCGGAGAGCTCGCGGCTGCGCTTGGCGAGGCTGCGCTCGAGCTTGTGCGCGTTCTGGTGGCCGCCCAGCGCCTGCGAGCTGTAGAACCTGCGCCGGCAGTAGGTGCACGAGAAGGCGCGGTCGTCGCCGGCGGCGGCGAGAGGCGGCGCCGGGTTCCTGGTGGCCGCGGTGTGCTGCCTGCCGGCCGCCGTGGAGTGGACCAGCCGCAGGTCGAGGTTGACGTCGCCGGCGGCGGCGGTGGTCGTCGTCGTCGTCGTCGACCTCGCGCTGATGATCTCCTTCTCCATCAATTAGTTTCTAGCTTGGTATGGATGTGCAAAATGTAATTGTCGGGGTGGGTAAGAAAGATAGTGTGGTGCGAGCTCGATCGAGGCGGCCGTATATAAAAGGAGGAAAGTCCAATTAAGCCTGGAGGACTAGCTAGGCGATCGACTAGCTAAGCTTAGCTTGTATGGGGATTATTGTCATGTCGGCCCTCTAGTGCTTACGGCCACACGGCGCTGTTGTTTTGGTTGGGCACTAGCAATTAATCATTAATGTCAATAATGGAAATATATTCCATGATTATTCATTTTTGAATAATAATCGATGTTACATTTGAGCTACATATTATATGTACACGGCTGCGGGAACTCACCTCCCACGCACGCAAAACAGAGTGATGTATTTTCTTATGATTAATTAGGTATGTACTAATTTTTTTTAAAAAATGGATTAATATGATTTTTTTAAGCAACCTTCGTAGAATTTTTTTTGCAAAAATATACCGTTTAACAATTTTTTGTAAAAAAAATACTATTTAACAGTTTGAAAAGCGTGCGTGTGAAGACGAAGGAGGTGAGTTGGGAACTGAGATCACTTAATTCGACACTCGAAAACAGTAACAGTATTACCAATCTTTCTGCCAATGATATTTTTTTTTAATAATAGATTAAGAGACTTAACCTCTACACCAACAAAATGTACACAGCTAATCCATGGGGACTTTAATCAACAGATATCTCCCAACTGGTACTACTAGCTAGCTAGCTAGACACAAAACCAGGATATTATCCAAGATGATACCCAACGTTTCCCTAGCTAGTCCAAGACAAGTTGGTAAGATATCGTAAGCAAATTTTGAAGTTCTTATAAAAATTGTTACGTGTAAATAACTATGTCCATCTTGACTCTGCAATTAAAGGCATGCTCTCCAAGACTAAGCATGCATTACATGGTATCACATGGATAATGGGTAATAATTAAGGAGATTTTTTTTCCTTTTGCTACCGATTAGAGCACACTACATCCTCACTTTTGCCATAGCAAAAAACCTCCTCTTAATCTATGCGCGCCATTATTCTATACAAGTAATGTTTTATTTTTGCTGTTGCCGCACTTTGACCGATGTCTAATATAATGTCTTTCACCAGTCCATAACACCTTGTATGTTGCTTGTACGGAACAATAATGGAAGAGTACGTCATTACTCTGATTGTGATAAAAGCGGCAATATGTAGCTAACCCATTGTAGAGACAAAATTGTCTGAATTAAGCTAACAAATGGACTACATATTGGCAATCAATCGATGGAAGCTCTTTGCCATCATACTAGCTAGCTACTACTCCTTCACACACACACACACACACACACAAATCTAGAATTGAATTTGGCATAATCTAGCTCCTAAGCTCTTGTACATCCAGATTCGTTGTATTAGATTGTATCAAATCTAATTCTAGATCGGTTTTTCGTGGGACAGAGGGAGTGGGTGTTATATTCACTCAGTAACTAATTAAACGTGACATTTGCATATCTCCGTGAGTATCTGGCTAGTACATTGTAAGTACCTACGTGTCGTAATTTGCTCTGCGTTGATGGCATGCATGACGTATGCACTCCAGTCGTCTCTTGCACGGGACGTGCCAGATTATTACTTTTCATATTTTACTAATGTACGGTATATTTATATTTATAATATGCTCAGATATCCATATATCTGTACTACTATATAATCTTTGAGATTCTTTAATTACATACGTACCTATGTACGGAACGAGTACGGCATATCTGCTTGTATATATGTGTACAGCAAGATCTATTCCATTTGACCTTTATATACGGTATATATACATGTATGGTACATTTAGTTATGTATGTAGTACTCCTATGTGCAGTCACGTCCACTGTTCTATATATGGTTGATACATGTAATAAGTCGTTTGCTTATATACATTTGCAGTAAGGCCCATGCTGATCAGCTTGCATGCATGATCGACCCATTGTTTGCATGCATTGCCCTTGATTAGCTAGGACAATAAAGTAGCTCTAGGTAGCTAGCTAGCTTCATCCATGCTTACTTACAACTACCTCCATCACATTATAAGTGCAACCATGAGTTTTTATGCCTAACTTTGTTCTTTTGTCTTATTTGAAATTTTTTTATAATTAGTATTTTTATTGTTATGAGATGATAAAACATGAGTAGCACTTTACACGTGACTTATGTTTTAAATTTTTTTATTTTTTTTAAATAAGGCGGACGATCAAAGTTGTGCACGGAAAATCATGGCTGCACTTAAAATGGGACTGAGGAAGTATTAATTAGAAAAAATGTTCTATACTCCAGTTTTGAGCATGTGAAACGATGGTCATGGAGAGCAGTACTCCCTCCATCCTACAATAAATTTATATTTATAAGATATTAAGATAACTTTAGTAAGAAGGAAAAATGACTTAGGTGTTGAGAAACAATATTGATAAATGGTACTTCTCAATTTACAAAGTGAGCAAGGATATATAGGGTGATAGAAACTAATTACCCCTGACCCGTTTCAAAATATAGCAATCTAATACTAGATTGGATACTGACATATTGTATATCCTAACACTACGAATTTGAAGAATGAAGAATGAATTACCTATCCAGATTCGTAGTATCGTAGGGTTCTAGCTACTAGCGCTACTAGCTAGTATCTAGCTGCAAGGGCTACGTCATGCAGATTCATGCATGCATGGCTGAAACTTGAAAGCCAAATGAAAACAAAACTAGCTAGAGACTAGGCAAAGATCCCCTCTAAGATGCTGATCTTACTACACGGCTATTATCCAGATGTATTATTATGCTCGACCGGATGGAAGCTGTGGGTGTGCATGCCTCTGACAGTGACATAGGTTCAGTCTTCAGATCAGCAAGTACATTAACATGACTTGGACTGCAGCATGCAACTATGCATTTTTAACAAATCAGGCTCTAGGCTCCTCTATAGCTTGGCCCATTCCTGACTGCCCGGGCCTTTGCCTGAAACCCAAGTACCCAACAAGTATAATAATTTCTGGATCCCATCGATTATATTTTGGGATAAATTTAAATAATAAAATCTCTTATATTATATGATGGAAGGAATATGTTTGCTCGGAGTACATTGCATTTAGATGCTGTATTGCTAATAACTAGTAGATTTTTTGCATGCCATATACATGTACTAGTATATGCATGATAATGAGTTGATTTTGCGGTAAGATGGCTAGCCGGCCCTACTGCATACTCCCTCCGTCCCAAAAAAAGACAAACCCTGGGTTTCCGTGTTCAACGTTTGACTGTCCGTCTTATATGAAATTTTTTTATAATTAGTATTTTCATTGTTGTTAGATGATAAAACATGATTAATACTTTATGCGTGATTTATATTTTTAATTTTTTCATATTTTTTTTAAATAAGACGGATGGTCAAACATTGGACACGGAAAGGTTTGTCTTTTTTTTTAGACGGAGGGAGTATGTCTCTCGGTGTTTAGGGCTGTTTTTCTTCTGAAAATGGATTTAAGCCTTACATGGACATCTTGTTTATCCAGGCAGTCCAAACAGCTATACATGAAGAATTCTGAAAATAATAGAAGGAAACATAAGATCAAATTCGATCTGCGTATCAAGATCGCTGCACAGCTTGAACTTGCAGGCACAGTATGCACAAACAGTAAGCTTGCTGCCTGTGTGAGTAGTGAGTACAAACAGTAGCAAAAGGATGCAAATAGTCCGGTTTCCAGTTCTTTCCAGTTCGTGGGCTGCATTTTCACCGCAGAAATGACATGCAAATCTATAGTATATTTAAAGCCAGTACTGAGTAGTAGTACTATGTCAATATCAAATGTTGCTAATAATGCTACCACTATAAATCAGAATCAAACTCCAGCTGCACTGACACTGTGTATGCCATGCCAGGGTTGTACCGGGCATGGAGGAGTGGTTCATACTGGACAGCATTGTGCAGATAGATTTGAGGAGTAGTAGGAGTATGCAAGAGGAATCTTGAGACCTACTCCTACATGCAGCTCAGCTCTCTGGATGTACTCCTACACAGTGAGAAGCAAGCTGATCAATGTGTGGACAAACAGTGTGTAAGTGCATGCAAAATTCAATGGATGCTGCTGTGGTAGTAGCTAAGATGAGATGGTGGTGATCTTAGCAATGCAATCTGACAGAGATTTGGTCGGCAGGGAGGCATGCTGCATGGGTCCGGATGAGATCTGCATCGATCGACAACTTCGAGGCCGATAGATAGCAAAAACTATCTCAAGATATTAGCCTTCTAAACTCTTCGCGATCGATTCTCATCATCAGTCTCCACCAAACTAGCTGGTACTCTCCTCCATCTTGTTTTTCAATTGAAAAGCCTGCATCCTCTACATGAATATTATTGCCAGCTACATGTTGTTGACTTGTTTTTTCTTCTCTCTCGACCGGATATATATACAATCTAAGAACTCGTGTATATTTTGACTGTGTATATCGTTTATAAATATAGAGACCGGATTAATGAAAATCCATTGTCTAAAAATATGTAAAGTGACTGAACAAAAGTCAGGCAGTCAGCAAATGAAAAATTAACTAATACACTAAATGTGTCCTCTGGCTAATTGTTTTTCGTTCGATTTTTCTGTATGAAATATGGGTCTCAAGTGAAGAAATGAATTTGTATTTGGCCCACGCGTCGAATTTCTAGCATGCATGGTAAGCTCACCAAATGATGTAGCACGTTTGAGAAATGTCTAGAGGTCTTTTGGCTAGCTTCACAAGGTGGTGGGCTAGCCGGCCTGGGTTCAAATCCTCACTCCTACTTATTTCTCACTCCTACTTATTTGATATTAGGTCATTTTCTAATATTTACGTTTTTTTATGTAGCCCATTTGATTTAGGTTATTGGATGGATTGTAGTTACCAATGGTTTATCTACTTGATTATAGAGATAGATTAAATATTTTTCTTTAAAAAATCAAACTTATAAAGGAATTTAAAACAAGTGATTTAAACAATGCAATAGAAGGATTTTTTTTTTAGGAAAAATATTTCTTGGGTTTCTTCCCTTGCCCGGATTGTGGGCAATAGCCCGTTTGATTTAGGTTATTGGATGGATTGTAGTTACCAATGGTTTATCTACTTGATTATAGAGATAGATTAAATATTTTTCTTTAAAAAATCAAACTTATAAAGGAATTTAAAACAAGTGATTTAAACAATGCAATAGAAGGATTTTTTTTTTAGGAAAACATATTTCTTGGGTTTCTTCCCTTGCCCGGATTGTGGGCAAGAGGGTCATTTTGGTTTGAAACTATAGTATACACATGCCTCAACCCTATAAATGTGGTAAAACTTGGCTCCAATCCAAATTGCTACTAAGAACTACTGAAAACTACTACCGTTGGTCTTCTGGGTTGGACACGGATATTAAGTAGATGAAATTAAAAATATTATGATTGGTTGTAAAGGGTTAAGAATAAAAGATAGGTGAAAGGGTTTATATTTTAGGATAATTTTTAAATGCTATATTTTGAAACAGGGATAGTACCAAATACTCAATTAGCAATTTAGCATCAGATCAAAGTGGCCCAAAATCACCTACTAGATGATGCACAGGGGGCGAAGGCAGTGGACTGGGGGAGGCAGGGTATGTGTGGGCCGCCAACCCCCTGCCTCCTATGGGCCGTCACAGTTGGGGCTGAACGGGACGACCAGAATGGAATTGTGACTGACAGGAGGGCCAGACCAGAACATAATTGTGATTTTTTTTTATAGATGGGCAATAAATAATATTTCTTCCGTTTCACAATGTAAGTCATTCTAGCATTTCCCACATTAATATTAATGTTAATGAATATAGAATATGAATGTAAATGTGAAATTCATTAACATCAAAACGGAGGGAGTATTGTCCAGTTAGACACACTATGCAACCCATGCAGGATGTTTCTACCATTTCTATACCTGCCTGGTATCTCATGTCTCGGAAGTAAGATAGTACAAGGGTTACAAAATTTGTAAGCACTGGAAGCAAGCAAATCATCACTGAAAATAACCAGTCTCCAGAACAGACACAGATCACATAAGCGACCACCACAAGGTCACACTCTCTTTATTATTAACAAGTTGTTATTGTTACCATCACCAGGTCACCCAAACAGATGTTATGTTGTTTTCCAGACACACCTTGTTCAGTATAAGACAAGTAGATTAAAGAGGATTTTACTGGAGGAGGCAAAAGGCCTTATTCATCTTGAGATCGATTGAACTGGGAAATTTACAGAGGCTTGCACAAAAACTGCAGCTCTCCTTAAGGCTAGCCACTAAGGAATCGATCATCATATAAACGCAACGAAAAATATTACCAACAGGAAAAGATAAGGAACAAAAGAAAGGTAAAAAAAGAAACTATTTAAGGAGCTAGGCTTCCATCCTATCCTAGTGTACAATGCTTCACCAGACAGAAGCGCTGGACATTGTCTTCGCCCATTTCTTAGTATTTCAAAGAGGAAGAGCATGGATCAGAGAATTTTCAGTATGAACCAATCACCCTGGGGCTTTATGCTAAGCCGGCCTCTTTAACTTCCAAAGGCTTTGCAGCGACAGATGAATCCCCACTGGCACCTTTGTCAGCTGAATTAGGGCTCACATTCTTGGCCTCACCAAGCCGAACTGCCTGCGCAAAGCTCTTAGTTATATGACCAACTAGATCAGTGGCCACAGTCAAGGGCTTCTTGGGCTCAACCACAGTAGAGCTGGGCAGCTGATGTTGCTGATGCAGCCGCGCCTTATTGTCCAGCAGGGCTCTCTCACGCTCCTCGTAGAAGTCAAAGTCATCGAGTATCGATGCATCCTCCTCATGATCCTTGAAGATTTTCAGCATCTCCATACCTTGTTCGAGTTTTACCTAATATAATATAATGCAGACATCTATTTGTGTCAGATTAAATGGTTGAAACCATTACATTGTAATATCAACATGCATATCAAAGTAAAAGGGGAAAACAAGAATTATTATCGTTATTATGTACCTCTTGTGTGTCCCGGCTGTTGGTCACAGGTTTATTATCATTGTTTTCAAGAATTATATGGCGGAAAAGATTATTTGGAACATCCTTCACAATGTGCCACTTAACAGGGAACTGGCCAGTCCACTTATCTTGCTGCCAATAGTCAACACTCTTCTCAAAATCCACTGGCCCAATCATCTCTGCAACACCACAGAATTGTGCACTAGCATTCACCTGTACATAGCATTCAAACTGTTAACTCTGAAGAGAAACAACAAATTCAAAGTAACAAAACCACTAACAAAAAAATGAAGGCAGTAAAGGAACAATAAGAAAGTAGGTCACAGCTTTAATTACCGAAAACAGCAGAAAAATTGGGCAATGCTCTTCTTTCTCCTTTGCTTCACGGTAGGCTGAGTCTAGTTTCTTGTTCCCGTTTGTGGTGCTAGCCCAAACACCATATTTGATGCTCTTGTGCACATTGTCTTCGCTGTATGATTTTATGATGAAAAATCTGGCATTCTTGTACTCTGTAACAAAGTCAGGCCTGTTGTACAACTCGCAATCAACGCCTGCAGAAGGCTTCTCATCCTTGCCGCCATCCTCTGGTTGCTTCTTAGGCCTAGTGGCACGTGGGCCTCGGCTTTGCTCATTGAGGAAGTCAAGTGAACCATTGCAGCTGCAAAGAAGAGCATTGCCCCTTCCTCTCCTGCGGCCTTTTTCCATCGGAATAGAACTCGTACCATTCAGGCCAAAGCTAGGGAAAGGGCCCCCATAATTAGTGGCCTGTGGGAAATATCCACCATGAGAGAACACTCTTCCGTAAGAGTCACTTGGTGTCCCAAAACCATAGAAGGGCCTGTGCTGAGGAGATTGCTGAAATTAGAGGGGAAAAAAGGAAGAGTGTCAGAAGATAGATCATACAAGTAAATATGCCTGTGTCATTGTAAATATCCGACAAGTAAACAGTGTCCTTATCAGACAAGTGATAGTAGTCATTTTGAGATAGTAAACAGTGTCCTTATCAGGAAAAGCAATTCATAATTCTAAGTAAATTTCTGTGAAATTCACTGGCAAGAAGAAAACCAAAGCTTAAGGTTGCATTTGAACTAGAGGCAACTTGGCCATATCGGGAATCAGGACCATTCATTATAAGAATTTACAGAATTCTAACCAGGCATTCTTGCCATTACATGTCTAGTCAGAAGATATTATATCCAAATTCAAGAATGACCATGTTTATGGTAACTGAATTATGGCCTAAAAGATCACACGAAAACAGAATAGGAGAGAATATGCGGCCATCTATTTCAATCAGAAAAGGCACTGCAGATTGCATAGCATTTTTTATTAGTCTACTAAGCTTATTGTTATGTGAATTAAACTTAGGCAAGATTGTTTGGAAACTGAATGGATTAATCCCCAGACACCTATGACAATTAGTAGCTCGCAACAGGGTGAACCACTATTTCATTTGACAAAAGAAATAGACAAGAGATGGCATGTGCATAGAATACCATTCCAGAAGCCATAGGGAAGTTGCTTTGTCCAAAGGGCCCTGAAACGCCACCAGCAGGTTGAGGTGAAGCCGCAGGTGATGGAAACGACCCATTTCCTTCAGACGATCGGAACCATTCTGAAATTATCATCATGAGATAAAAGGTTAAAATCATGCCTAAAAAGTGAAACCTGAATTAGGAGTATCAGCTGAACAAGGCATAAGATAGATAATAACCAGGTCTTGGTCCGAAAAGGAAGCTGTTAGGACTCAGAGTTTCGGCGATAAAAGCCCCTTGTGTTGGGTCAATCGGCACCATTGCCTCACCCTGTGATATTGGAGTAGGAGAGCTTAAATATGGCATGCCAGGTGGTACTGATTGCTGGTAGTAAGGAGCCGAGAAGGAGAACTGCTGAGGAGAGTAGAGCTGACCATCTCCACTAACAGCAGCCGGTACAGGCGTTGAGATAGGAGAATAATGAGCATAAGGGTCATAGCCATAGCCACCATGGTACATCAATTGAGGATCATCATTGTATACAACCTTCAATAAAAGCCAACAATTTTAGAAAAGGTGCTTGACGAAAAACTTCTGGCAACCAAAAAAACAGATTGCTTACCGCTGGACCTGCTTCCAAGCCTTCAACACTCACATAAGGAGGATATCCATCCCATTCATTTGAAGGGTTATCATATCCTGGACCTGCTCATAAAAGACAAATTATCAATTATGTCAAGGACTCAACAATAACATTCATCAATTAGAGAATAGTGTGCCTGAGAAGAACATATGGTTTGTGATCTGACCTTGGTAATAGAATGGCTGTGCCTGAGAAGAATACATGGTTTGAGGATATGCAGCATTGTGTCCCCCACCTATATTGGAAGTGCCAGCTTGGGCTTGTCCTTCACTTGGTAGATTGATACCATTTGAATCGTGTGAAATGGTGGGTTCAAGGACCTTCTCATCTTTGCTAGGAATGGTCTAAGGTCATAAAAAGCAATTTCAGCAAACAAAAAAAAACTACAACAATCAGCACAAAAAAGGCAATTATGACAATCAGAAGATTGTATAGAACATCTCTAAATGATATCATAAAGTAATGACCTGCTCTTCAGGGTTATCAGAAAGAACAGGTTTTTGTTCAGCATCAACTCTTGGCTCCTGCGAATCCATTGAGCCTGTGGGAGGGAGATTGAACAGATCAAATCAAACATTCAAGGAACATAGATTTACTCCAATTAAATGTAGAGAAAATTCCTCGCAAAAAACACAAAAGTAAGAGAAAATTGTATTGCAAAGTAATTTTTAAGGATCATGCTGTATTAGGCACTTCTTTGTTAGGCGAATTAATAAGTAATACATTTTATACCCTGCCACTTCGAAACAAAAAGGTGAGGCACACTAATCAACAAAGGTAAGCATCGTAAATGGCCTGAAGTACCAAATAAAGACAGCTACGTGCCTAAGTCCCCATTGTACTTACTTAGATGTACCATAGAACCATATCATTCAGTTCATGAACAAAGCCACACTTCTAAACAATCACATACATGGGCTGATGGGCACTAGTATTCCAAATTACTGAAATTAGTGTACTTTAGTACCACATACTTCCTCCGTCCCAAAATAAGTATTAATTTCTGGCTACGAATCTAGACATTAGGAATCAACTTATTTCGGGGGAGTACTTCTCCACCACATAGTAGCCAATAGCATATGCAGCCGTGCACAATAAAGGCATCAATTTTCCATCATTCACTGCCGTCCTATCAACTAGTCAAAACCATACTAAAAACCACAATTGTGGCCTCTACAGGCAATTGTCGATACTGACAGGCATCCTACCACTACTACCTTCTCCCTTCGTGCAGCTACTATCCCTGCGCCAGCTGCTGCTGCTGCTCACAGGAGACACACTAGAGGCATTGGTTGCGTCCGTATCTTTTTCAGGTATACTGGCTCGCCGGAATTTTAGTGCAGGTTGCTGCCTGTACAAACCATGAACACGTGATGCGATTTCCATCTGAAAGCGGCATCTTACCCAACCGACAAAATCGCACATTGCTAAACCTGCACGCGAACCAACAATAGTCCACACCACCTGCCATTATTCACGGACGCGAAGAGGAGAAAAGAAGACGGCAATGTCGATGCTTGAGCAGGTCTTCGCTGCCCGAATCCCTGAAATCTAATCTTAATAATCCACTAATTCACTCAATAATTCCAACGGCACCACTATGAGTCTATGACATGGATGGCATCAGGGAAAAATTAATCACGTATACTATCTATGAATTGTCATAATTAAGCGACGCAGACAGCTTGCGCCAAGATCCGACGCACTTGGCAGCAAGATCTAGCAAGGGGAACATCCCGAACCCAGCAAGAATCAACCAAAAAACAATCGCACCGATGCAACCCCAGATCGAAGAGCAACCCCAAACCCAACCATCCAGCCAAAAATCGAAACAGAGACGAAAAAAAAAATCCCCGCGCTAACCTGGGCGATCCGATCCGCCGTGCGCCGATTCCATCAGGGATCCGTCCGTCGGAAGGCAGAGGGATCGGTATGGCTCAACTCGCGCCAAATCCCGCGAGCCTTGGGTTGAATCGTTCAGCTCGGATCCCTCCTCCTCTCGATCGGATCGGCCCGAGGGGCCCTCCTCCTCCTCGACTGGATTCGATTCGATCCCTCTTCTCTCTCTCCCCTCTGCGATTGCGATTGCGTGGCTCGTGATCTGATGTTGTCGTCCCTCTCAACCTGATCAATTGAAGAAGAAGAGGAGAGAGGTGCGCTTCGCTTCGATCTTCTTTTATTATATATTAATAAAAAAAAAGAGTAAGAATTCGCTATTTATTATTTATAGGGTGAGGGTTGGATTTGTAAACGTGGGGAAGTTGGAGGGGTGTTCGTGCAAGATTTGATTTGGGGTTTGCTCTAGAAAGAGCCGATGCCCACGCCGGAATACGTGTTGGAATCCGACGTGGCTCTGACGTGGCAGCTGCAGGTGCGAGTCAAGTCAAGATCGATCCGTACAAAGCCAAAAAACCAAAAAAACAAAAAGAGGGTAGTGTATTAACCTTATCTCATGTTGGTCTCGCTTTGATCTCGGATTGGATCTAACATGGCCGGTAAGTTTATTACTACCTCTGTCCCAGAATAAGTACAGCTATGGATATCCGTGCCCAACATTTGACCGTCCGTTTTATTTAAAAAAAATTATGATTACTATTTTTATTGCTATTAAATGATAAAACATGAATATTACTTTATGTGTGACTAAATATTTTCAATTTTTTCACAAAATTTTTAAATAAGACGAATGATCAAACGTTGAACGTGAATAGTGCAAAATTGCACTTGTTTTGAGACGGATGGAGTATTATTTTGATTTATATTTAAATAAGTTTGTGATTAATTCAAGAGATGGACTTGGATCCTGTCTGGATTCCGATGGGAACTCCTTGCGCTTTGGTGTGATTGGTTGATTAGCTAGATTTAGATTTGTCCACTTGTCTGTGTCATGGTTAATTCCACTCGTTTAGATGCGCAAGACGAAACGATTAGGCGCCAGATCTGTTGCTGCTCCTCACATCATGATTGCGTGTAGCTATCTGCATTTGCAGATAAGATTCCTCTTTAAAATACACAATAATCTGCATCTGCAGATAGTGTAGTATTAGTGTATTACTTCGTATTGGAGTAGCAAGACATAGATCTGGAGCAATTGTGTCTTTTATGTGGGACTGGACATGCTTTTGGCTCTGTACATCTTATTTCTATAATATAAAAGGTTATAAAATGGTACCTATATATCCAAGACATGATCCGTTGTAGTCTAGCTGGTTAGGATACTCGGCTCTCACCCGAGAGACCCGGGTTCGAGTCCCGGCAACGGAATTTTGTATTTTTTAAAACTTTCTTTGTTTTGCTGCCGTCCAATGGCTCTAGGCCCGCCAAAATTCAGCCCGTTTGAACTATGGACCGTCTTTGTTTTGGTCCTTCAAGTTGTCACTAAGTTTGAAATTCACCCCTAAAACGAAATACCAGATATAATGGGTCTCAATTTACAAAACCAGATCACCCGAGGTCCTAACCAGTATTATGCCCAGTTTTAGTTGATGTGACAAGTTGAGTCAGCGTGGGACCCACATGTCAGTGGCTATCACTTTCTTCCTCTCCTCAATCTCCTCTTATCCGCTACTTCTTCTCTCTTCCTGATCCCCTCCAAGGTGAGGTGAGACGGAGCGTGAGCATCAACAACGCGCTGACGTGGCACCGGGGGGGGGGGGTTAGCAGTTGCAACAATTCATGCTAGTCACCTTGAGTGATCGAGGTACCTGACGGCCTCTGTTAGAGTTTGTGTCGAATATGTGTACGTAGTCGGTTACAATTTAGAACTTGGAGTTGTAATAGGTGTTAGGGGGTGGAGTTAGAGTCAAACTCTGTAACCCGGCATCTCTCTTAAATAGAGAGAGGGGCACCACAATGTAACCATAGCGACTACAATATAGCGTAGATACGCGGGAGATGATGGCGACGTGGCCATGGACTCGTAGCGGCTAGAAGCTATGTTGGTTGGGGAGGAGTGCCTATAATCAGAGCCCCGGGGATGTAGGCTTCGGTTGAACCTCGTTATCAAATATCGTGTGTTACTATGTCGTCATCTGGCATGTCTTGGGTGATTAATGATTGAACCGATCGGGAAGGTTAGTCGTCGTTCCGCTATATCGACTAACTTTTATAACAACTTCGTTGAGGACGTTGGTGGCGTCTTGCTCCGACGTGCCACCTCACCACCATTCATTATGAGGTTTTCCCTTATGTGGAGTGAAACCTCATATTGGTGCTGCACTCCGTCTCTAGTCATGAAGATCAACGTGTTGTGATCTCTGGTCTCTGCAAGACTACAACCGCAAATCCAAACAACTGTTTTAGATCTTGGCACGACCTTGGATGCCATCCTCACACGGCCATTGCATGACTCCATCTGCCACCGAGCTCTGCCGGGCTACTGCTGTGCTTGCGCATGAGAGAGAGAGAAGAGAAAAGAGGGCAGAGAGAAGAGAGAAGAAGAAAGGGAGAGAAAGGGGAAAGATAGTGGCGATGATGTGGGTACCACTATATTTTTTTAATTGAACACTCATTGACATGTGGGTCCCATATTTTTTTAACTTTAAGTGGAACCGCTTTGAGACCTTATTTGCACTGGTTTTGGAAGTTGAGGGACGCGGTATAACTGGTATTACAGTTCAGGGATGAATTTTAAACTCGGCGACAACTTGGGAGACCTCAATTGAACTTACTCCTTTGAATATGGACCATAAACCAAAGGTAGGAATCCAAACTTTAAAATTCAGCCCGTTTGAAATATGGACCGTAACCGATGGTGGAGGTAAAAAACCTTACGTGGGCCCCCAGAAAAATAATGTGGGCTGACATCGCGACGGCCCAAGGTATGGGCGGCCACGTCAGCTGCCTCCTCGGTCCTCGCAGTTCACACCCCCAACAAATCTGTTTGTCTCTGTCTGCAACAACTCCACCACCACCACCAACCGGAGGCGCCTCCGCCTCCACGGCCACTATAAGAGCGCGGCGGCGGCGGCGGCGGGGGCGGGGGGCCATGGCGGGGAAGAAGGAGGAGGAGGAGGCTGTTGTGTACAGGGGCGACAAGCTGATCCTGCGGGGGCTGCGGTTCCATGGCACCCACGGGGTGAAGCCAGAGGAGAAGAAGCTGGGCCAGAAGTTCGTCATCGACGTCGACGCCTGGATGGATCTCGCCGCCGCCGGGGACTCCGACGACATCTCCGACACCGTCAGCTACACCGAAATCTACAGGTCGCTCATTTTAAAGCTCTCTTCTCCTCTCTATCCCAAATTCAGAATTAATTAATTAATCCCGCTTGCTGGTTTCTGCCATTGGCCGTCCTACCTCCCTTATCGAATCCCCCACAACATCCAGAATCTAGAGAGTTCAATCTCGCTTGCTACTGATATGCTCCCTGAATGAAGTTGCTACTGGGATTCGTTATTTTCAAGTTGCAATTACAGATGTGGTTCACAGTGCACTTCGTTCCAAGGCTAAGATGAGTTTAGCGGCTACTGACATGCTGTAACGAGATTTTAACTCGTCAGCACAGTGCATGAGTTCAGAATCATATAAAAAAGTTCAGCATATGTTTTGCCGATCCTTTTCATGATTCAGAATTGCTACTAGTACCACTCAATAAAGAATGTTCATATTCTTTTATTTTTTGTATCGTATAGGATAGCCAAGAATGTAGTCGAAGGCCCGTCGCACAATCTGTTGGAATCGGTGGCTCAGTCGATTGCAAACTCAACCCTGCTCAAGTTCCCTCAGATTTCTGCAGTTCGAGTGAAGGTTGAGAAACCTCATGTTGCTGTTCAGGGAGTCCTCGACTATTTGGGCGTGGAGATATTCAGGCAGAGAAAAGCATGAACAACACCTATACTTGTTCAGAACCTCATTCGAACAGATACGTACTTAGTGTACTTGTCTTATCTTTATTGCTCGTTATCATACCAATATTATTCACTCAGTATCCATGTCAAGAACTAGAAAATTCCCTGTTTAATTTGCACGAAGAGGAATATATATGTAACGTAGATTGTTGTGGTACTATTAATTAATACTCCCTCCGTTTCAAAATGTTTGATGCCGTTGACTTTTTAGCACATGTTTGACCATTCGTCTTATTTAAAAAAAATTGTGAAATATGTAAAACTATATGTGTACATGAAAGGTTATTTAACAATGAATCAAATGAGATGAAAAGAATAAATAATTACTTAAATTTTTTGAATAAGACGAATGGTTAAACACGTGCTAAAAAGTCAACGGTGTCAAATATTTTGAAACGGAGGGAGTACTAGCATGCTTGTGAAGTGTCATCCGTCCGTCCTGTCCTAACGATTTTATTCTGATGCAGTTGGTCGATCTAATCTTCCCTTTCAATAATTAAATCTACAATATAATAGTATCCATTATTGTCAGTCACAGAAGTATCTTCAGTCAGCATTCAGAGCAAAAATGTTGACCACCATTCTGTCTTCTGAGGCGACAGGAAAGTTTTACTACCTTATTTCATTGATAAAAGAAGAGGAAAAACACCATGTTGTACTGCATATATACTGTAGGTCCAGAAGACCATAGGCAGAGTATAAGTAAATATTAATACTACATTATTATTGACCACCGTTCGCATAGTCTGCAGATAATTAAGCATCCCTGTTGCATGATGTGTGAATGACAGACTTCAGAAATCCGCGCTGACGCCTCTGGAGGCGAATAGCTCGTCGATGTAGCTGATGATCCCGTTGGCTGCATCGATGTACTTTTGCATCTCTGCAGCCGCAGATTCATCTGCCGCAGTTCACAATTACAATAGTTGCAAATTGAGGATAAATTAATCATAAAAAAGCATGCATATGAACAATTATATAGCTGCAAATTGAGAAATTAATCATCAAGAAGCATGCGTATAATCATCTTAAAAAAAGAGGAAATGTTACATGACGGTATCCCATTCAGATGGGATGATATCTCTAAGGTATCGTCTGATACCCACTACAATTAAGAGTAGTTGGGACTCAACAATGCATTATTGATTTCATTTGCATTTGACCAAGTTTATGAGAAAATTTAGTAATATCTATAACACGAAATTAGTTTCATTCAAATTAACATTTAATATATATTGATAATATGTTTTTTTTTCGAAAATATTGCTAAACTTTTCTATAAATTTGGTCAGATTTAAAAAAGTTTGACTAGAAAAAACGTCAAAACGACTTATAATATAACACGAAGGGAGTATATATTAGTACCATTTTCGTTTCAAAATATATTACACAGTTGACTGTTGAATATGACTTATATTTATTCATTTTATTAGCATTATTTTCTTTCAAAATAATACGAATGATCAAATCTAATACCTAAAAGTGCGGAAAAGCTAACGCGCGCGAGCGTGTTGGCGGTGAGCGTTTCCGAATAGTTTAGCCTAACTAACTAAGTTATTAGTAGATAATGACAGTAATTAAGATATGATTTCCTTTTTTTCGGAAGATTTTTTTCCACTAACCGATTGAAAACTTTTGAAGTCAAATTTTAAAAACTTTTAAAACTCAAATTAAAAATTTTCAACTCGAAATTTAAATGTGTAAGATAAATTTTGAAAACTTTCCAGTACAGATTTGAAAATTTTTAAGTTAAGATTTGAAAAAATATAAAAACTTTCGACTCAGATTTAAAAACTTTCAACTCGAGATTTGAAAACTTTCAACTCCGATTCGAAAACCTTCGACTCATATTCGAAAACTTTCGACTCAGATTCGAAAACTTTCGACTCGAGATTTGAAAACTTTCAACTCAAATTTGAAAACTTTCAACTCGGATTCGAAAACTTTCAACTCGAGATTTGAATACTTTCAAATCAGATTTAAAAATTTTCAAGTTAAGATTTAAAAACTTTCAACTCAAAACATTTTAAAAAAAAGTGTGCTGAAGATTAAAAAAAAGTAATCAGGAAAAAAAAGGAAAAAAAGTGAAAAAAATCGCAAAAGGAAAACGATAAAACAAATCGCGAAAAAAAAGAAAAAATGGCTGATGGGCTGATGAGCCGGGAGCAGCTGGCGCGCGCGCCAACTAGCAACGCCCCTAAAAGTGAACAACATCGTGTATTTAAAATCAAATGCGGTATAAGGAGAAAATGGATATAGATGGCCAAATGGGCCACACGACCGGGCCTGAGCTGAGGTTAGTCGAGCCAGCATGGCCCGACCTCCACGTCGGGCTGTGCCGTGCCAACCCATGGGCTGCACACACGGCCCAAGCATGGCCCAATAAGACTTGGACCGTGCCATGCCGGCCCGGCCCATCGTGCTCTTCCATGTAATAAGTCTATTTTTTTTCCTTTAACTCTTCGAGCTTTGTCTTATATGGCTGGAAATTAAGTCTATCATCTTTCTTTGGGCCTTGCCTTACATGGTTAATTAAGTTTATTTTGGATCCTCTGCTATGTTTTTAAACAGTGTCGTGCCAGGCTGGCCCACCGTGCGAAGGCATCGGCCTAGGCATGGCCCAACTATCGGGCCATGCCAGCACGGGTCCGACATCAGTCGGGCCGTGGTGTGCTTGGGCCGGCCATCAGGCTTCGGGCCTTATGGCCATCTATAGAGGGGGATCCTAGTGCGCGCTTACGTGCCAGCAAAATTGCTAGCGCGCACGTCAGCTGGGCCGTCTCCACGCGCCCTTTTTGATTTTTTCTTTTTTTCGCACTTTTTTCCGATTCCTTTTTTGTTTTTTCTTTTTTCGCACTTTCTTCCTGATTTTGACTCCTCCAACACTTTTTTTTTCTGTTTCTTTCCAATTTTTTTCAATATTTTGCATATCTATTTACAAATGTAGAATTGAAAGTTTTTTTTATTTTGACTTGAAATTTTTAAAATTTGAGTTGAAAGTTTTCAAATTTTGAGTTGAAAGCTTTCAAATTTGACTTGAAAGTTTTCAAATCTGGGTTGAAAGTTTTTAAATTTGGATTGAAAGTTTTAAATCTAAGTTGAAAGTTTTTAAATTTTGATTTGAAAGTTTTCAAGATTCGAATCGAAAGTTTTCAAATTCAAGTTGAAAGTTTTCAAGATTCGGGTCGAATGTTTTCAAATTCAAGTTGAAAGTTTTCAAATTCGAGTTGAAAGTTTTTAAAATTCGGGATGAAAGTTTTCAAAATTTGAACTGAAAAATGTTCAAATTTCACGTAAGGATTTTTAAAATCTTAGTACAAGAAACAACCTATAAAAAAGAAAAATAAAAATAATTAGCACGATAATTAGAACGATGATTATTAGAAACTAATTACGTTACCGTGTGGTGCACGCGTATGTCTGTGTCGTTTCCTACGGAAAGAAAACAAAAGTGGGCTGGAAGGCCCGAAACAGTTGCCGTGGGCCGAAATGCGCGCGAGTTAGCTAGCTAGCGTGTCTGCGCTAATTAGCAAACCTGATCTATAGATGGATGATGGATGGAACAGTACCGGTCTCATTGATGGTGGCGAAGAAGTCGGAAATGGACTTGACGGGGATGGCGCAGATGGAGTCGGCGACGGTGCTCTGCACGTTCTTGTCGTGGTACCGGGCGAACACGGCGGCGTACGCCATGGACACCACCCCGTCGAAGGAGACTCCTCCTCCTCCTGGTCGCTGCTGCTGCAGCTGCGCGAGCATGAGCTGGAAGAGCGCCCGCTTGAGCTCGATGCCGCGCTTGACGCGGACGAGGTTGTTGGAGTGGGTGCCGGTGGCCCTGACGCGGCCGGCGGCGACGTCGCGGTCGACGAGCTCCTCCGCGCTGTCCATGGCCTCCGCCGCGCGCTCCAGCGCCACCAGCCGCTCCGCGTATTCCGTCTTCCAGAACCCGGCCTCCACGCCGAGGAGGTCGAACAAGGCCAGCGCGTGGTGGCACGCCCGCACCAGCGCCTTCAGCCGCAGCGGCGGCGCCGCCCGCACGCTCAAGCTCACCGCCTCCAGCTCCGCCGCGTACTCCGCCAGCGGCCGCCGCCGCCGCCGTTCGCCTCCTTCTACCTCATCTACCTGCACCTCCGCCATTATATATAGGACTCTATCACTATTCACTAGGCGCTAGCTAGCTCTAGCTCTGTAGTACGTCGTCTGTATGATGCATGCCTGTATTTATAGATGTACATATGCACTTATGCCTGCAGTACATATGCACTTATGTTGGCCTCTTAATTAGGGAGGTTTTAAGCCGCTGCAGCTTCTCCATAATCAAAAACTTTTCAAACAATATCAATCTTCATCAAATTCTAAGAAAACCGGTAGTTACATACAGAAAATAAATTTAAAATCATAAACTGGTTTGGTTTTTTTAGCTTCTCCAGCTATTAACTAAATGCCTATCATAATTTAAAACTTTTCCAAACAGAACATATGTATTTTAGTATGTACCTATCAGAAAGTAAGTTTATGCTTATGTTCAATTGCACGAAAATAAATGTGTTTAACTTGAATAGTTGCAAAAAAAATTTAATGAAATTTTACAAGATAGATTATGATGGTATAAACCAATAAACAAACATGCAAATCTAAATTTAAACTGTAGAAAAAAAAGAAATGCTTTTCACCATGTTGCACACATACTATTCGCTGCTTGATTTTTTCTTTTTCCCCTCTATTTGTAGATTTAACCTGTATGCTTGTGTATAGGCTTATGCTATCCTAATTAATCAATGTTACCAAATTTATTTATTTATTTTTCCTATAGGTATTTGACTACAATCCATGTTTCCATGACATCATCCATGCATATATGTTTATAAGTACAAACAGGGTCGTGGTTGACCTGCAAGTTGATTTAGTTTGAATTATCATGTCTGTTGGTCATAACGCGTTCTTGAAATTAATTCGATCTATCCCTTTCCTACCTTCATGGTTGACTGCAGGTCAGATTAAATAATGTTGAAGAACACATATGTAAGTCATATATAGCTACATGTATTGTTTTTGAAGGTTATACGGTTTGAATTTGTTGGGTTTCACAAATATATCTTCTAAGTAAGAGACTATAGTCCATAGGTGTGGCTTCACTTGACAGTGTCGTCCAAACCGATATCGCTGGTTTTCCCTAGCCAATCGATCTCAACTAACCTAGCTAGTATAGCTATTAGCATATTAAATTCCTAGAAATTACCAGGAGTACAAGATCGACCAGGTCAAGTCCAAGCATGCACTAATTCTTGGCAGGAGTAGACTTAATTAGTTAAGTGAGTGCTCGATCAGTTGACTTGCTGTAAATGTATCGCATTTCAATCTTCACGTCCAGGAAATTATCACTGAATTTTCAAATTACAATGGTTATTATCTAATCAGTGAATCGGGGTCGAGCTAACTAATTGAATTGAACGGCAGGCATAATCTTCGTAACCCCGTTGCGGCCTGGCCACATTCCGGTCCAACAATCCCATTCCGACCCAACAAAAAATACATAAGTGTAAATTTCATCCCCTGCAACCTTAATTACCATGGTTTATGAAATTACTAATATTTTTGTTGTTTAATAAATCCTATATACTTATATAGTTAATCCTCACTAAGTGTAGTTATTGTTATTTCCCTCTTCTCTTAATAAGCCACATCACCTCAATTATTTCTAGCCATTAGATGATAGATCTATGGTTCAAATTGTCTCTTCTTTCTTCTCTAATAACACCATGCAATCTCAATTATTTATAGGCTCAAAATTCATAAGTAGTAATTTGTTTTAGTTTTAATAATCATATTTCATCATATTTGTACATATTATATAATTTATTTTTTCGCAGCAACGCGGCGGGACATTCATCTAGTTAATAATAATAGCTTGGCCTTGCCTCTGGTCCACGAGGAGAGTGCCCATTGCCAGTGTGGCCCGGCCCAACACGGCCCATTATAAACGTAGCACTACATACTCTCTCCATTTTCTAACATTTATTAACGTCCTTATAATATCTTACTATAAAGTTATCCTCCACTAACTCATTAAGCTTAACATGCAAAGATGTCACATCATCATCCACTAATTAATAAGATGCCACATTATCATCCACTAACAATCATCACATTTAAACATCATGCAAACATGCTATATCTTTATAGTTTTTATAATTTAAGAGCTTTTCAAATACAAACATGTTAAATTATCATCCAACATAATTCACATAATGTTTTAATGTATATCTTTATTATGTTTTATAATATCATATATACTTATATAATTCATCCTCACTTAGTTAGTGCTTAAATGATTAATCTATAGTCCAAATTATCTTTCTCTTTTTTTCCTCTAATTAAGTCATATTACATCAATTGTTTTAGCCTTTAGATGATTAATCTAGGTCTAAACTATCTCCCTACTTTTTTTCTTCCATAAAGTCATACCACCTTACTTTTTACGTTTGAATCACTATTCTACATACTATTTAAATTTAAATTATCATAAACCACATTAATTTACTTAACCTGATGTTATCTAGCTATCTTACACGTTATTTTTTTTATTGTTATCATACTAAATTCCCGCAGCAATGCGCGGGGTTTCACCTAGCAACTTATTATAGACATACATATGATTATTCGTCCTATTTAGAGAAGTGTACGTAATTAAAATTTATATATTTTTAAATAAGTTACTTTGAGTATGACTTATATTTTTATTTTTTTAAAAAAGACGAGTAGTCAAATATATATTTAAAATTTAACGTCATCGGACATTTAAAAAAACAGAGAGAATACTACATATACTTAAATAGATGTACTTAAGATTGAGAATGAGGAATATGTACAAATATACAAGGTTTCCGACTTCAACCAGAAGTTATCGAAGTAAATGGAAGTTGCCACAAAAGCAACCTCCCAAAAGAAAATAAATTACATTGAGAAATTACTATCCTATATTTATGAAAACCCAGCTTCCTTCTAAATCGCTACTTAAATAGATGTCACTGGCTTGATTATCCCCTATAATGAAACAATTATAGTTTTTGAGATAATAAGGAATAATCATGCTAGTATCGGGTAGTTAACAATGCCACAATGCCACAATGCAATCCAGCTTCTCTCGAAAGCTAATAATAAAAATAAAATCAACGAAGAAACTAGGAAATGATGATGATGGACCATCTCATCATCCATCCATGGAGGAGAAAACAAAGGCCACATTGGATTTGGATCTGGAAAGCACCTACAGGGAGAAGAGAGGACAATTCTAAGGCAATTAGCAAACAATTGGGAGTAGTTGGGACTCAACAGTGCATTATTGATTGCATTTACATTTGCCCTCTCCAATCATTTTCACCAGCATTCATTCATGCATCCATCTGTACTGTACCCTAAACTAAACTGCACTCTGCTAAGTACTTGCCGCACTACATTCTCCGATTAAATTCTTATTGATTCCTGCTAAGGAAAGGAGATGATGAGGGCCATTTCTTAATCCTAAAGAATGTCTACTAACTCATTGGATACGGGATTTTTTCATTCTATTTTATTTGCCAAATAGTTATTGGCTAGAGCTGGCTTGGACTCTGGAGAGCATGATTCCTGCATGCTTTCTGGTCAAGCAACACTATTATCATAGCATTATCAATCAGATGATTTGATTAGATTAGGTTAGGTTTGTTATTCACCTAAATCAAGGCATGAGCACTTGGGCATACAATCAGGAGAGTAGGAGTAGTAGGTAAAGGGAGTAATGTACAGCGTACACTGCTGGGGTCTACACCCTAATATTAGTATACATACGGCTACCTGCCTATCTGTATCACACCACAAATGTATACAACAGCAAAGCGTACCAGCTGATTGATGGTGTCACTCACCAAATGTTCTTTGTTTTTCAGTTACAAGAAAAAAATCGATGGAATAACAAATACGGAGCACTGAAGTTGCATACTTTGGCCAAACATAGATGGAAATTTTATAATTCGTAATCGTCACTTGTCCTTTAACCTATGTAATAATGAAATGAATTCTATTATTGAGAAAACTATTCCTGAACTTGTACCGGTATACGGCCCTTCAAGTACACGGTTAAGTAATTTTCAGCAGATGCATTTATTCCGAAAGCGAAAATTCTGAAAAAGGCCAAAAGAAGAGAGAGAGAGAGAGAGAGAGAGAGAGAGAGAGAGAGAGAGAGAGAGAGTGGCAGGCAGCTAGTCCACATTCAATTCAGTATTTTCAGCGCAGTGTGAGTATAAAAAGTGGCAGAGTCTGAATCTGTCAACTCGATCTTCCCTTCTTTCTCTGCAGCCCTGCACTGCATTTCCAAGGCTGGAGATTGATCCCACCCAACGAACCAGCGACAAAAGGGCGACGGTAGAAAATTATTTTCACCAGGAAATGAGGAAGAGAGCAAGGGGTTTTTATAAAATCTCCAGCTTTTTTCTGTTCCTCTGGTCTTGATTCTTGAACTGCCCTCAAGAAAGCAGGGGAAAGGAAAGGACTCCCCTTTCCACTGGGAGAGAGAAAAGGAGAGAGAGACCTGGAGAAGGGGGGAAAGGGAGGAGGAAGAAGAGGGGAGAGAGGCCATGGTGCGGAAGAATGGGTGGCAGCTCCCAGCACACACCTTCCAGGTGCAATTTCTTTCGATCAGTTCTTCTTCTTCTTGTTGTTTTTCCGTCTATCTTGGCTTCTTGCGGTTGTTATCGGGCGCGGTATCCACCGGAAATTCCGCCGGAAGAATTCCTTGTCTTTCAGGCCTGAAGAACATCTCGATCTTCCCGAACTGAAAGAAAATTTTCAGCCTTTGTTTGTTTCTCTTTTTGTGGATCAGTTTGGCAGAATTCAGTTGCTAGTGATCTTGCTTATCCACTCCCTTATATCTCAACTTCCACTTTACGTGTGTGTGTGTGGATTGGAGGAGATAAATGCGTGATGAAATGTTGTAGACTTACGAAGTAGAGTTCAGTTTCTAGAGTGCACTGCTCAGGAATGATCACTGTAATTTTCGCTAGTGTTTTTAGGAATGCCTGGCTCTGAACCTGTTTAGGCTTTGGGCGAATTCTCCTAGGTAGCCTTTTTTTTTTGTTCCTGATTCCTGCATTTTAGTGGAGTGGTTTTTAGTCGTGCGGTGGATATTCCCTTTTGCTACTAACTACAAAATCTCATCTTTTGGCATGATCCTGGTTCTACCATGATGGAGTGCGGAATTGTTCAAAAAATTAAATAAATAAACAGAGAGATGGAGACATGGAGTGAAAGATTATGCTCTCCATGACTTGGCACTGAAATGGGTGCAAAAAGGGACAAACTTGTTTGGGTTCACACATACAGTTTTACTAACAAAATAAACAAGTAAGAACACTGGTAGCTTGAGCTTCTGAAGGGATAGCTTGGTGCCTTGGTCATGTATTGCTGCTTGGCGACTTATTGGACACTCCATGGTTATTAAACAATGTGATTTTCATGGACTGGTGAAATTAAGTAGTAACTTCCAATCTTCCAGTTGCTATCTTCCAGTTGCCCTTGTAGCATCAATAAGATTATTGTTTTTCTTTCATTATGCTATTACTGAAAAATTGAAAAGTCAGTTTAAGCATACTAAGGCAGTGTTTGAGGGAGAGAGGATTGGGAAGATACGCAAAACGAGGTGAGTCATTAGCGCATGATTAATTGAGTATTAACTATTTTAAACTTCAAAAATGGATTAATATGATTTTTTAAAGCAACTTTTCTATAGAAAATTTTTACAAAAAAACGCACCATTTAGTGGTTTGAAAAGCGTATGCGCGGAAAACGAGTAACAACCTCCCCTATCTCCTATGAACGAACGCAGCCTAAAATGCTATAAGAGGACAAAGAACTGTGAACTTGCCGTGTTGTCCTATGCCTATAATACCCTCCAAAAGCATTTATTGACAGTTCTTCATATAAAAAGGGTAATGCATATACATCCAATTGTTGGGACATTTTTTTTTAATTTGATGTCAATCAGCAAAAAATACGATTTCGTATTTTCTGTTCACAACTTTTGGTTCATGATACACGCTGTAGTTTGTAATACTTGCCGATTACCGGACTTTTGAACAGTGGATGACTAAGTTGAATCTCTTGTCAAACAGATTATTGCAATTACCGTTTTCTTCCTTCTGGTGGTTGCCTTTTATGCCTTCTTTGCACCATTCCTGGGAAAGCAAGTCCTTGAATATATCGCATTCGGCATCTATACTCCTGTGGTAAGCCTACCAAATGACACCTGCAGCATATCATGTGAGGACAGTTATTTGAGATGTACACTTACTGTTTCTCCTCCACGTGGTAAAATTTTCAGGCATTTGTTGTCTTCATCCTTTATATCCGGTGCACTAGCATAAATCCTGCAGATCCCGGGATCATGTCAAAGTTTCAAAATGGCTTCCGTAATGCACCAACAAGTGGCACCGGCTTACAGGACACAAATTTGCCAGGAAGGGGTGATGTTGCTACTGGAACGAATTCCCCAACATCTACTTTTAAGAGCTCTCTAGATGGACGTTCTAACCATGCTGGTTTAGCTGCTGGAGATGGAAATAATTTGAGCTCACAACCACCAAGGAGTTCAAGTTGCTCCTTAGTCGGAGGACTTATTTGTGCTCTGTTTGTTGAGGAGGATTGCAGGACGCTTGTTGATTCAGAGCATCAAGCTGATGGAGAAGATGCCTTGTTTTGCACATTATGTAATGCTGAGGTAAGCTTGTATATGTGCTCAACGTTGGAACTGCATAATGATTTTTGTCTCAGTTTCAGGCAAAATATATCATTTATTTTCCTCTGTAATAACTTTGTAAAAGCGAAAACTTCTGTTGTCAGATGTTGCTAATTACAAAGGCAAAATTTTCAGGTTCGCAAATTCAGTAAACATTGCAGAAGTTGTGATAAATGTGTGGATGGTTTTGATCATCACTGTCGGGTATTTTCTTATACAAACCTATGTTTGTCTTCAAATTTTATTCGCACGTCTGATTTTTGCATCCATTGCAGTGGCTAAATAATTGCGTTGGGCGCAAGAACTATTTCACATTTCTTGCTCTGATGATTACCAGCCTCCTCTGGGTCTGTAAAGTGGCCTTACTTAATCTCTATTCCGAATACATGTTTAACACAGTACTAAAAGATTCTTTGCATTTTTCATTAATTAGTTCAGCTGATTGGCATTTTAAATCTATTCTTAATCTGTGATCTGGCAGCTTGCCATTGAAATCGGGGTCGGCATTGCTGTTCTTGTTGTATGCTTCGTCAACAAGAATTCAGAAAGTATTATTCAAGACAAGCTTGCAAATGGTTTAACTCGTCCACCCTTTGCAACTATAGTAGTAAGTTGCACTAGCAGAAATCATCATACTTTAGTTGCAAGACATTTTCTCTAGTTGACTGAATGCAAACTTCTTGTGCAGGCCATATTTACTCTTCTTTCTATAATCGCTTGTATACCCCTAGGTGAACTCTTCTTCTTCCACATGATACTGATCAGAAAGGTTTGTATCGCAATTCTCACCGAATCAAATGTAATATCTAAATGACATGTCAGATGCATAGAAATGTAATGTCATTTGCTTGAAATTCCCCTACATTGCTTTCATTTGAACTGAATCAGGGGATCACAACTTACGAATATGTTGTCGCAATGAGAGCTATGAGTGAAGCACCTCAAGAGGAGGAAGAAGAGGATGGGGTGAACATTGTTTATTCCCCAACAAATTCAGCAACTACTGGATTCAGCGGTGGAAGCTCACTTGGTCTTCCCTACAAGGGTTCATGGTGCACACCTCCAAGGATTTTCGTTGATCAGGTAACTGCAAACGATGACCCGTCTCTTCTGAGACAATCTCTCCTGATAAATAAAGAATCAGATATTGTATCATCTGAATGAATATCAGTATGAATCTTCAAGCTGCAAATAGCATTACAAAGAACATATTTATCTGAATTCTTGCAAACAACATTGCTAAATAATCTCTCCGTTTTAGGTTATAAGACGTTTTGACTTTGCTAAAAGTCAAACTATTTCAAGTTTGACTAAGTTTATAGATGAATACAGTAATATTTATAATACTAAATTAGTTTCATCAAATCAATAATTGAATACATTTCCATAATAAATTAGTCTTGGGTTGAAAATGTTACTAATTTTTTTACAAACTTTATCAAACTTAAAACAGTTTGACTTTGATTAAAGCAAAGACGTCTTCTAAAATGAAACGGAGGGAGTAGCGCTGTACTATTTCTCTTCTGAATGATTGCAATGCAGGATGAAGTGATCCCACACCTGGAGGCTGGGATGGTGCCATCAACCATCGACCCTGACACGGCTGGAAATGCTGAGAGAGCAAACAGAGCCAAGAAGCAAGTGAAGATCAGCGCGTGGAAGCTCGCCAAGCTTGACACCAACGAGGCCATGAAAGCGGCGGCGAGAGCTCGGGCGTCCTCCTCCGTCCTCCGGCCGGTGGACGCTCGCCACCGCGGCGGCCACGACGCCGGCGACCTGAGCTCCAGCGGCAACGGCAGCGTCAGGAGCAGCGTGAGCGCCGCCGCCAAGGAGCAGAGGAGGAGGGCGTCCTCTCTCCCGAGCTCGTGCGCGCAGAGCGTGGCGAGCCAGGACGAGTACGAGCAGAGCGGCAGCAGCGTGATGAGCAGCCCGGTGCGCCTCCACAAGCTCGCGCCGCCGCCATTGCCGGCGGCGCACAACGTGCCGCCTCGGCCGCCGCCGCCGGTGAACGCTGCTCCGGAGGCGGCAATACCTCGGCCGCCGCCGCCTGTTCCTCCGGCGACGAGGATATCCAACCCGATGTTCCAGTCGGCCACGTCGTACGTCCGGGAGAACCGGAGGGCGTCGGTCGTGTGGGACCAGGAGGCCGGCCGGTACGTGTCGGTGGCGCCGGCGCCGGCAACGGCGAGGCCAGGAGGAGGCGGCGGTGGCGCCGAGCAGCCGGCGGCGAGGGCGCCGCCTTTCTTGGCGAACCCAGGTGGCGAGCGCGAGCCATTGAGTGCCGCCCGTAGCCGCAATAATCCCGCCGCGCCCGCGCCCACGAACGCCGCCCCTTCGTCGTCGTCGACGCTGCCGTCGGAGAGGCTGACGTACTCCGGCCAGTCGATATTCTTCGGCGGGCCACTGCTGGGCGGCGCCGCCGCCGCCGGCGAACCTCGAAGGGACGAGGCGGCGGGGACGAGGGCCCGCGGCGGCGAGTCCTTCCCGGTGTTTGCTCCCGGAACATTCCAGAAGAAGCCGCCACCGTTCCGTAGGTGAAATCTGCAACTGATGACCGGCAATGGCGATATCATCGCCGGACAATGCTAATCTCCGGCGAGGTGACACTGGAAGCAGAATCTGCAAGAACAAGTGATCAGCATATGCTGTCGAAGCATTAAAAGGAAGGAAGATTAATTAATGTGGAGTTTTACATCTGATGAAGTGAAGATAATTACATAACCTTGTCTGATTCAGGAAGAGAGAGAAATCGGGAGCAAAGAGATGTGGTGGGAGCAAAGAGTTTTGTCATGTACAGCATTCTTTTCTCGGTAATTAATTCCGAACGAAATCATATAAAACTCCGGGAGTTAGTATTTGACTGTGATTTGTACAATAGTAATGAATAATTAATTGAATTTTGGACGCAATACGCTCAAAAAAAACAGATTTGCTAGAAATATGGCGCCACTTTTTCTGTAAAAAAATAGTCGATTTTTAGACCCTAGGATCTATATCAAAATTCGTGCTAATGCTTTCCGAGAAAAATTAAGGTGCGGTGCGGTGGCGGGGAGTCGATCCCGTGATCGACGAGTTACAGGCATACAGCACCAGGCTTTTGACCAACTGAGCACAAGATGCTATTCGTTCTATCCTCAAAGTAAATCGTAGTTAATGAAAATTACAATATAGTGATAATTTATGCAATTATATGCCACTTACATTGTAATTACATACTAAATACATATATAATTTTGGGACTTACATATGTAATTTTGAAACTTATAGTGAAAATACATTATAATTACATATGTAATTTTAGGACACTTACATATGTAATTTTAGAACTTACAGTGAAAGAAAATACATTAAAATTACATATGTAATTTTAGAACTTACAGTGAAAATACATTAAAATTACATATGTGATTTTAAATTTATTTAAGTGTAACTTTTGTGATTGTTAGTTTTCTATCGTAAATTTAATTTATATTGTGTATTATAATAAAGTTACTTATTTGTTATATTGCCAAGGCTCATTAATGGTCAACTTTGTGTTTGAAATGGTGTTAATCAGTGTGAAGTCCAATCCGACTGTTTTGGACTAAATTTTGTGGCGCCATATATATAGATGGACCCCAAAAAAAACTTGCATAAAGAATGGACAAAAACGACAGTCCCCGGGTTATCCAAGATAAATACTACCTTCGTACTAAAATATAGTAACTTTTGGCTTGTCCAGATTCATATCTAAAAATACTTATATTTTAGGACGGAGGGAGTAGCATTCACCATGTCTCTAGAAATTACAAGATTACCATATTCTCTAATAAACAAACGGTTTATTAGAAAATAAAAATATTTTATAGATATTTTTTTTATATTTATTCATAGCAATTAAAAGTCAATACTACAAAGAAATTACATTAAAAATATTTTACAATCATCTTTAAATTTAAGTTTGAAAATTTAAATTTTAGCTTTTAGTTTGACTTACTCTCTCCGACCTAATAATACTTGTCGTTTTAGACAATGTTAAGATCAAACTTTAGAATCTTTGATTATAATTTTTTTAAAAATATTTTTCTTTCAATTATTTTTAAAGTATTATGTTAACCGAAGAGAGGATCCAACGTGCATGAGTACAAGTGCGATTTCTTCTTCATGGAGCTCTATATAAGCTTCTCCAAAAATAAAATAATTTAAAAGAAAATCCAAAACCCCTTGACTTTTTTTGACCGGATACAAGAGAGGAGGTGGAGTCGTCGTCGTCGACGGCGAGGAGAGGAGAGGGGAGCTGAGCTGCGGAGGAGGAGGAGGAGGAGGCGATGAGCGGCGGCGGCGGGATGGAGGTGGAGGTGCGGGTGGTGGGCGGCGCCCGGAGCTGCTTCGCCGCGCTCCCGCTCCACCTGATCCACGCCCTGTCCCGCACCTCCGTCTCCGGCGACCTCCCGCCGGTCCTCGCGCTCCACCTCCGCGCCGCCGCCACCGCCACCGCCGCCCGCTGGTCCCTCGCCTGGTCCGGCGCCGCGTCCCGGTCCAGCGCCATCGAGGTCCCCCCCCCCCCCCCCCCCGACTCCCGTATTATTCCCATCCTAGAATTGTATTTACTTTTAGCATCTGTGATGGATGATTGCTCGCTTTATCCTGGTCAAAATTATCCGGGGTTTTGCTGCTTTTCGGTCAATCTGGCTTCTGCGAGTAGAATTTTCGATGATTGTGATGACCCTGTATATGCTTGTATTCGTTGCTACTATGTAAACACTGTGCAGTAGGCTGTGGATTATTTCCAGCGTGAAATCTTTGATCAAATGTTGGGGTTTGCAGGTTGCTCAAGAGCTGGCAGAATGCATCTCGTTGCCTGATGGAACAGTTGCACAGTTGAGTGTAGCTCGCTCCCTGGCCAAAGCTGATTCAGTCTGTATAGAACCTTTCAGCGAGGATGATTGGGAGATACTGGAGAGCCGTGCTGATTTGGCTGAAGAAACAATCTTGACTCAGGTACTATTCTGTTATATACATTGTTTGCTTGATTAGCCAAGTGATAATCATCTCTAATGTGTAAAGATTTACTATTTAAATTCTCTTCTTCAAACTAGGTTGGCGTTGTTTACGAGGGTATGAAATTCCCATTGTGGTTGGACGGCCATAATATTGTGAAGTTTGTTGTGACCTCATCTTCTCCAAAGAAATCACTGGGTATGGCTCCTTTTCTTATCTGAATTATCCTCGTGTTACATCCAGTGCATTATTTTATCTAAACCATAGTTCCATTCGAATGAACTTTCTAAGGAATGTTCCGCTCATGCGCACTTTGTATCTAGTGACCTAGCTGTTTCATCCAAACTACTTCAAATTGTATGTACCTTCTTATATCCAGGATGTTACGCTAGTATGAAATCATGTTATCAACAAAAGCATGGAGATGAGCTTGATAAGTTCGTACATATTTTGTCCAAGCCTCTATAAATAATTTCTTACAATGGTATCAGCTTTTTTTTTTTTTGCCGGGTCGGCCGAAGGAACGGCGACCAAATTTCATTAAGATGGGGGAAATGGTATCAGCTGTTGTATACTGCTATTAGATTGTAGCTTTTGCGTACACTGGTAGTCCATCCGACTGTACCTTAACCTAATTTAGCACCTTCTGACAAAACCCCAATGATTATTGTTCTAACGCATCATGAATTTTGCTTGCTGCACTGTGTTACAGTATGTCATGCTGCTTTTAGTTTCTCATAAAAAATGCCTTCAGTATTTGAGGTCATGTACCTTCTGTATTTATTTCTAATGTTTGTCATGCTTTTAATTCTTTTAGTTCAACTTGTTCCGGGAACTGAAGTTGCTGTGGCACCCAAAAAACGTAGAGAAAACTCCAGCCAGGATGTGCAAAAGCAAAGTGCACTGAAGGAAGAAGCTCAAACAAAGGCTCTCCTGCGTGTTCAAGCAGCAGATAGGAAGTATGTGCATAAATTCAAATATAAAGGTGTTGAACTGGGGGTGATTCTCAGCTATGCTGTGCTGGTACATCCAGATACAGCTGCAAGAGCTTCAATTTCCAATCTTCAGTTGGTCACTGTTTCATCCAAATCATCACCAAAGAGACTTGCTCAAAAAGGCAAAGAAGTTACTCAAAAGAAGGGTATTTTACTGCCTAAAGAAAGGGTCCGAGAAGTGGTAGTCTATATCTTATTCTCAGATTCAGTTTCCAAAGGGCATGTTATGCTTCCCCACTCTATTCGCCACTACATAAGTGCAGACATTCATTCATGTAAGTTCAAAAATAGGTCTTTCTGCGTTGTCAACTTGTCAAGTAGCAACCAACTGTGGTCTATGAGTTCTGTTTTAAAGGCTTCAAACAGTCCATGCACGAGTTCTGATTTGGAATATAAGCATCTATAAATAGTTATTCTACCTGTATAATGCATCATCCTTTATGTTACAATTCTTTGAAGTCTGAAACGGTCATTGTTCTTTGCAGGGGTTTATGTGAAGACATTCTCAGCTAATGTCAAGAATGATCAACCTATATTGACAATAAGTCCGTTACATTTTAAGATGCAAGAAAAAGTTGCTCATGATGGTAGTGAATTAGGAAGTCAAGAAGCGAACATTTGGAGGAAAACTAGCATCCCTTCAGAAAATAGAGATCCCTTTCAGGAAGCTCATTTTGGTAACAATGATGATGTTCTGAGCACAGATGTTGATAACACTTCTGAATCCATATTGGAACATAAGATTCTCATTAAACAGTGGCTTGTTGGGCAACTTAAAGATATGGGCTTACACGTTGGGAACTCTGAGATAAGTCCAGTAGTTTTACCAACCAAAGTTTTGCTCCATTTTGAAGCAGTAGACCAAAAGCATAACAGGGGAAAAGAATTTCTATACCTGCTAAAGGTTGGCTTTGAAAATTCTAGCTACAGCAATTCGCAAGGCAATGCTGAGCTTTCTTGGAGCATTCAAACTGATGATCTAGAAAACTTGGAATTAAAATTTGGGAGGTTGGAGCTGGGTGAGCCTGAATTTTTTAATTCTGTATTAGATGATGGGTTCAGCAATGGGTTCAAGCTGACTCGATCTTCTTTAGGCTGGATGGAGAATGCAATGTCAGATGTCACAAAAAGTATTTACTTTCATTGCTAAGTTCCTTAATTTTATTTGCTCTTTTTATCTCGTAAAGTATCACATTTCTTATTTCTTAATCCATGTTTATCATCATTTTCTTTGTAAAGGGCTATCTGTTCTCTTATCGTCAACTAGTCTGAGGTTATTTGACCAGCTAAAGCTCCCCTTCCCTGGTCATGTTCTTGTCCTTGGACCTCGAGTAAGTAATAGTATCTGGTTTGCTTTATGGGTTGTATGATTTTAAATCCTACTTAAACCTAAGGATTGTTTAATTCTTATATTTTTGTGAACTCTTTCTCTGTTTCAGGGTTCTGGGAAAACTGCTTTGGTTAGGGCTGCTGCAAAATACTTTGAAGACCATAAAGAGATATTGGCTCATGTGTAAACATCTCAATCTTTTTATTCAGAGTTATGCAGTTGTTTATAAAAAAAAAGTTGGGGGCACCTTAAGTTATATCATTAAAATGTTGATTTGTCCTTGTGAGCAGAATATATATAGATTGTTCCAAACTTACAGTGGGCAAGGCTAAGGAGACAAAGCAAACAATTGAAGATAGCATTTCTGAAGCTCTGCTTCACGCACCTTCAGTTATCTTATTTGATGATATGGACAATGTGGTTTCAGTGTCTTCAGATCCTCAAGCACCTCAGTCATCCAGTTCATCTGATTCTATAGTAAGATATTTGGCTGATATCATGGATGAGTACAAGGTGAGAAGGTGTTATCATATTTTTCTATGTGCACATTTCAAATATTGAACAAACTTGCATATTTGTAAGCTGTTCTTTTTATCAGAGTACTTGTGTTTTCTTTTGTTTAGCATGATGATCTTGTATTCATGCTAGGATAAGGCTCAGAATGCATGTGGATATGGACCTATTGCATTAATGGCTTCAGCTCAATCACTTCAGAGTCTTCCTCAAGATTTAACTTCTTCTGGTTCTTTCTTACCTTCTCTTCATGTCAAGAGATATATTGCTAACTTCTGTCATGTTGATTAAAAAAAATCTGTTTACTTCACAGGGAGATTTGATTTCCACGTTGAGCTTCCTGTTCTTGCTATTCCTGAGCGTGAGGCGCTATTGAAACATCATGTTGAGGAGCATGAGTTACAGTGTTCTAAGGAAGTTCTTTCAGAGATAGCATCAAAATGTGATGGCTATGATGCATATGACTTGGTAATGCTACTGATTTTTGGCAAACATTTCCAAAATTAGAAATATTATTTAGATAATACCCTTTTCTCAACCATATGACAAGTTTGGCAAAGGGCTGAGGTCTGTTCGTCTTATATATATATACCATTGTGTTGCAGGATATTTTGGTTGATAGGGCTGTGCATGCTGCTGCCTCTCGCTTTGTTCTGCCTTCTAGCGCCTCTGTGAACTGTGCTGAACCAACTCTAGTGAAGGAAGACTTCTTAAAAGCGATACATGACTTCCTTCCAGTTGCCATGCGTGATCTTAGCAAATATGCCCCTGCTGACGGTGAAGGTGGTTGGGAAGATGTTGGAGGGCTTAATGAAGCAGTAACCATCATCAAAGAGGTTCACAATCCTTGTTACTTGTTCAAATTATTTATTTTTACTATTTACTACTCCCTCTGTCCCAAAATATAAGCATTTCTGGTTATGAATCTGGACAACCGTAAGTCCAGATTCATAGCCAAAAACTGCTATATTTTGGGACGGAGGTAGTATTAATATAAGCCTTATACTTATTCCACCAGAGTTCAGAGGATGCTCACAGCACTAAATTTATCTATCTTAGAAATTTCATTAGCTAGCGACAAAACATGTTTGTCCTGTTTCTAATCCAAGTTTTAAGATCTGTTGGGAGTGGTTAACAGCCTCTAGAAGGACTGAATGTATGTAACTGAGGGTACATAATAACAGATATGAATATTGCCTCCATGTGGAAAATATATTTTCTAGAAATATACATGTTTCCATCCATATTGCCTCCACATGGGAATTAGGAAGGGGTATTTACCTATGCTTACGGGAATGAGAATAGAAGTGACTATTGGCTATTGCAATTTATTGAGAGGGATACTGTGATATGGTTTCAAGTTAAATATTTTAAGGTTTGACGAACAAGGAGCTTGCTTCCTCATTGATATACTCATGGACAACTAACTATTGTCTACAAACCTTCATTTCATTACCTGTGTAATATATATTCTTACTTTCCTACTCACATTTGTTTTTCTTGTTATAGACTCTTGAATTGCCATCAAAATACCCGAATATCTTTACCAAGGCACCTGTAAGGTTGCGATCAAACATTCTCCTCTATGGACCATCTGGATGTGGAAAAACACATATTGTGGGAGCTGCAGCTGCCGCTTGTTCTCTGCGATTCATATCAGTCAAAGGTCCAGAGCTATTGAATAAGTACATCGGTTCTTCTGAGCAATCTGTAAGGACTCTTTTATTTTTTATCGCTGTGATGTACCATTCTTTGTCTTATGCCTTTTTCTAGTTTCAGAGACATTTGAAGGGCTAGTAACTGTGACATTTCCTGCACCTTGTATTACTCAGACCTGTCTTAATATCTTATCTTATCTGTGTAGCTGTAGTTATAGAGGACATAGAAGACCATTGAGATTAATATGGTTCTGATATTCTTCTTTTACATGGTCATGGTTCTGATTTTAATAATCTGATTCCAGGTTCGTGACTTCTTTGCAAAGGCAGCTGCTGCAGCACCTTGCCTACTGTTCTTTGATGAGTTTGAATCCATTGCACCCCAGCGAGGAACACAGAGTGCAGGAGTTTCTGATCGTGTTGTTAATCAAGTAAGTTGCCTTTACCATTACTGAATATAAGTTTTGGATCGGTCTATAGTTCCAAAAGAGCATTATTTTTTCTTGTTATAATCAAGATCATATTTATATATGGTTTGTCTGCAGTTCTTGACAGAACTAGATGGTGTAGAAAGCTTGACTGGAGTATTTGTATTTGCTGCAACAAGGTTAGCTCTCAAAGCATAAGAAGATGTAGTTGGTGCAGCATGCCAATCAATTTTAAATGGACTGCAATGACCAGTCGCAAAACATCAAGAATTAGTCAGCATGGAATGAAATGCTATGAAGACTGAAATTTTACTGATGAGAATAAGATTGGAACTAAAATAGCTTGATTGTTTTCCTTTAATTTTTAATGGTTTCATCTTTTTCCTTATGTGCAGTAAGCCACAATCAATTGATGCTGCACTCTTGCGGCCCGGAAGATTTGACCGTTTGATCTTATGTGATTTTCCTGGATGGCATGAGCGTTTGGAAATTCTGAAAGTTCACTCTAGAGAGGTGAGTTCTCATTTGCCATTTTGTCTTTTGTTGATATTTTTAATCACGGGTTTTGCCATCTGTGAACTCCTTAAATTATTGATATCTTAACATTCTCATTGTTATTGATGATGCATTTTCATTTTTAATATCTTCTGTTGGTCACAGGTTTCACTGGCAAGTGATGCCAGTCTGGAAGAGGTTGCTTCTTTGACTGAAGGATTTACAGGTGCAGATCTTGCAGCTATTCTAAGAGATGCTAAGCTGGCAGCAGTGCATAAAGTTCTGGAGGACAGAAATAATGGTATCTCAGACACACAGCCATGTATCAGCAAAGAACTCCTAATATCTACTGCTAGGGAGGCTAGACCTTCGACATCAGCAGAACAAAAAATGCAGTATGACATGGACTTCGGTCAATTTGTATCGTCTAGGAAGTCTGTTTCAACGAAGGTGCGGTTCATGCTCCATTTTTTGGCATATAAACAATGCGTTTTTCAACTGAAAATTCCAATACCGCATCTTATTGATGCTCCCTTCTGTCGGTGTTTGATGTTTCTTGCAATAAGATTCTTGGACAGCTACTGAAATATTTCTTTGCAGGCAAGGGAATCTAAAGGAAAAAAGGTCACGCTGGCTTGAGTCTCTCTGCATTGGACAAGTAAGGCCACCTCTTCGATCTGTTGTCTTCATGGTTCTTAGGAATCCATGAGATATGAATTTGTTGAGCATTTCAATGAACCTTGATGTTTCCCCCTCTTTGAATCCAGGTACAATTACGTTATGTTCATTGGCGCAGAACAAGAATGGCGAGCGCCTTTTTTCTGCTCGGCAAATCTCAGTTTTGACTTACCAACTCCACCCCTCTTCTTTGAGAAAGGGAAAGAAACTCATTTTGTAGATTGTAGTGCAGGCAGCGAGGGGCTGTGATGATGTATAGCATTGTGCCAAATTTTGATACGAATGGCTTCTTCTTGTGCAGTACGAAATAGAAATGCTGACAGAACGCGTGTAGCGTTTGAATGAACATTGGGGGAACGTACTGACGTATCTAATGCTAATTGTGTCGATATACTTTATCTGTTTCACATTATAAGAAGGTTTTGGTTTTGAATAGATTCATGCATGAATCCATATATGTGCTTCATATATATGTTGAAATTCATATAAATGTTAATAAATCTTGACGAGGGACAGAGAAACAAAAACGTCTTATAAGATAAAATTCATATAAATGTTAATGAATCTTGACGAGGGACAGAGAAACAAAAACGTCTTATAAGATAAAATGGAAGGAGTAAATCTTTATGTTTTTTTATGCAAAGATCTGGTCTTGATATGATCAACCTTGTGCCTGACATTGCAATGTGTTTATTGTGCCAAGAATCAATAATATAGTACATGCTTAAACGCAAATTTCTTACACAATTTGTAATCTGAATTTGAATCGAGAGGGACATACATTGCCCTTTTCTTTTCCCCCACCAAAAAACCAGGATAGCGCTACCAATGGCAGCGATCAGAATTCCCGTCTGTTCTGACCGCCCGATCTAGCACGTGCGGTTGAGATCGAGGCTAAGTACGGTTTAACGGGTACATTTCCACCCAGCCCCTCCATTTACCTCATATTATCGAAATCCCACAAGCACTCAGAGGTGGGGTGGGGCCACATCGTCAGTGAAACGGACGGGTATAGGGTTAGGGAGTTGGGGGATCGGGAGGAAGAGAGTAGGGAGACGAGAGGAGGAAGAAGAGGCGGGCAGCGAGGAGGGAGGAGATCGGCGGCGAGCGGCGAGAGGGGAGGAGAAGGTAGGTTGCGATGGCGTCCGGGTGGGGCATCAACGGGAACAAGGGGCGGTGCTACGACTTCTGGCTGGACTTCAGCGAGTGTATGAGCCGCTGCCGCCAGCCCACCGACTGCGGCCTCCTCCGGGAGGACTACCTCGAGTGCCTCCACCACTCCAAGGAGGTAATCCTCCTCTCTCCTCTCTCCTCACTCCTCAATCCATCTCCCACCCGCCCTTCTCGGTTTATTTTTGATGGATATGCCCGCCTCGCCAACCACCTAGATCTACCATTTACAGTTTTCTTGAAGGGGTGGATATGGATTGTTCTTGGGATTAACATCACCCGCTAATTGGGGGCACTGCATTTGATTGGAGTAGTAATCGTATTTCGAATCCATTCTAGTATGATATGATTGTTGGAGGTTGGGATTCCATATGCTTTCATTTCCATTCTGTTGTACTCCCTCTGGTTTCATTTTAATTGACGTTTTGGACAATGACACGGTCTACAAGATATATCTTTGATCTTATTTTTCTATTATAATATATATAATAAATAAATGCATGTTTACTTTTATTATAGTGCTTTAAAAGACAAATCTATATATGTTGTTCTAGTTCCTTTAAACTAAATATTTTTAAAGTTATTGATGGTCAAAGTTATAAAAGTTTGACATCAATCTTGTTCAAAACGTCAATTAATATAGAACCGGAGGGAGTAGACAAGGTTGTTAATAGTATTATTGGTCTCTCCTTGTCTCTTAGGATAGCCCAATTTCCCATTTCCAAGTGATCTCTGAATATTTCGGAGTGTCTGTTGTTGCTTGGATAACTAGTTCAGAAAATCCCTGGTTGGTTCCAGAATGTGACTAGAATAGAATTATTCATTAGCATAAAGGCACACAAGTCGTAATACTATTTAACAAGTTCTTATTACTTCTTGGCATGCATGATATCATCATATTCTGAATTGTTTCTTGTGTTTTAAAGGGATATATGCTTGCCCTGATTCCTTACAGCAAAATAAAATTTATGGATTCATGCTAGTGCATAGCTTCCAGTCAGTGGGAGAAATGAATCAGGATGCAACAGTACTCTGAATTATATTGTTCTAGATTTCCATTTCATTCTATTAGCGATTCTAACAACCAAGATGACCTGATGCGGAAATGTATGATTCTCTCCAATGCAGTTCCAGCGCAGGAACAGAATCTACAAGGAGGAGCAACGTAAGTTAAGAGCTGCTATTCGTCGTAGGGAGGAGGCGGCAAAGGAGAAGGCTGAGGGAGCTCCTGCTGTTTCAGCTCAGCATTAGCCACTCCGATAAAATTCATGTGTGCTTTTTGTTTGCTGTCAAAACTTTGTTCTACTGTGATGCTAAGAGCAAGGCAATAATTCCCCACCTTCATGTTGGACTACACAAACTCTTTTCCCCTCTCACTCCATGACTTTGATCTGTATCAAGGCGTTGCATAAACCATCATGGTGATGAAGTTTTCGTGCCTGTTTTGGATAATTTTGCGATAATGATGGTTGGTTCGATCATCATATTTTGCACGTTTATTGCTATCGCTCTTGATGTTCTTATAGGATTGACAGCGCAACATTGGTTTTGTCGATTGTACTTGGAATGGTCTTCTGACTGTTGCTTTGCATGCTCGTTCTATTATAATTCTTGATGGCCACTTTTCCATTCCATGCTTGGGTTCTGAACTTGAACTCGCGATCACATAACCATGGGGATGATCTTGTTTTTCAGCATATTTCGCTGCAAATGCAAACAGCATGTGGTGACGGCAATAAATTGATTTCAAATTTTGCTGTGCAATCATCCCCTGTTGCATTTATTGTTTTTTCCCGTTTGATTCAGTAGTCTTGTGTGTTGACTCGTTTCTACTCATACATATTAGCAAAACAGGGATAAACAAGTCCCTAAATTATCTTCCATTGTTTCCTAGGTCTCAAAATCGTCTTGCAAGTGTTAATTTTAACCTCAAGATATCGCTCTATAAGTCAATTGATCTCACAAAACAAGGCTACAACATTTGTGCAAATAAAATATAATTAAAATACCGAAACAAAAGAACGAACAACATAGCTGGATAGCCCCCGTCATATCACATTTTATTTCAACCAAGCAGGATACACATTGTTTCTTTATTCCCAACGTAACTAAACCAATTTTAATGAAAATAAAAGAAAGAAAGAAATGTCCCTTATCCCTTTTACATCCTGCATTATACTGTTAACTGTATGAATCTATCTCCTTCTATATACAGCTCGAAGGACTGATTTTCAGTCCCAGTAGCTACTAACCAGTTGCTAACTCCTCTAGTGAAGAACGCCTAATGCCCAGTTAGAGACTATTACAGAGGTATTCCAAGAAACAACAACAAAGAAAAAAAAAGTGAGCTTGGCGTACTTCATGGCAAAATGGTTAAAAGCATGTATCATTTGATTTGCTTTCCGCGCATATAGCTTGATATTAGTGCAGCTGTGCAGGACTTGGAGGCGCCAACTTGTGAAAAAAAAGTATTGGCAGCTGCCAAGTGCATTTGGATTGGCATGGAGAGTCGAAGATCTCCTTCCTATTCTGAACCAAAATAGCTGTCTTGTACCGATAGCCGGTCGAAGGCATCAAAATTTGCCTTTAGACCAACAAACTGGCTTCCAAGCTGTGCACACGCTGCATCAGGCCATCTACATCCTTCCCTGGTGCGGAAAGGGCAGAGTGACTCACAGATATGGTTGCTTGGTGTTTCTGAAACCAAGCTGTCCTCAATCGCGGTGATGGATACAGAGAAGTCGGAACTTTTTTCGTGCTGGGACTCAAAATCTGTGTCTCTTCGAAATGAATATGTCAGCCCCTCAGTTTTCTCCACCTGGCTTTCATTCGTGCCGAAATTAACCGTACAGCCCAACGATCGCACTGCCTTTCTGATGGCAACGCTCTCCCTTTGAGCACGTTGAGCCATGGCCAAGGCTGAACTACTTGCACGCTTCTCCCTCTGTAATTCTAATTGCATAGATTCCATCTTCGTTTTAATATCTTTTACCCTTGATTCAGCTGTGTCCTTTGCCTGTCCATTACAAGAGAAAACAAAACAAGAAATAAACATCAGGATGGATGTCTGACACACAAAGCAATTTTTTTTAAAAAAAAAACATCCCAGTGTCCCTTTTATGATGGTTATCCTATCTCAAACCATAAATTTATGTCTTTAGTCTTGCTCCATGCAACTTCCTAAAGATTGTGTGATCAAATCAAACAAAAAAAATACTATGATGACTCGACATACAGCAACAAAATGATTAAAGGTATACATAAAGATCTATACTTAGTTACCTTCATTGCTTCTGTGTACTTTTTATTCATGGCATGCCATTGAGATTCAAGATCACCACCTTGAGATTCAATGGGGCATGTCCATCTCAAATAAAATTGGGGCCAAAGGGTAGGAGCAAGTGCTGCAGCAGGTGGCACTAGGGGACCATTATGCTTTAATGGATCATAGAATGGATTACGATGCTTATGGAAGCTGCCACCAGAAGCTCGGAGATCAGCCAAGTACGTCCACATGCAATGGCAAGAGCTTACAGCACCAGATTGCTCCCTTTCTCGCTCACTTGCATTTTAAATTGAAGTCAGATATGCACGATATTTTCCAAACAAGATAGATCAAGAACTATAAAAGAAAGGAGTCAAACATTGCTTATTACCAAGAGACAGGTGCATACATGAACAACAAACTATAATTTTCTGGACAAGCCCGTTTTGGGAAGACACAGTCAAAAGAGTTTCGGACCACATCTAGTGGACTACACAGCCTAAGAATGGTGTAACAACTAACATTATTACTGGCAAACTATTAACTATATTGTTCACATGTAGCCAGCTAATACTTCAAAATAATGTGAGAACCAGACACATTAGAAGACAGTACAAACTTACAACAGATAAATCATGACAGATGATGAATAGAAACATTTCACTGCTCTTTCTTTTCCCCCCTAATTGACTAGATGGCAATATAGCATAAAGCCTTCCATTCGTGAGTCATGACATCATGGAAAACCGTAGAATCTTACAATGGTAATATGAAAAAACGAAAATCATGTACCCTCAAAGAGAGACTCAGTCTCAAACAGACCCCTGCAACTAATGTTTCAATTTACCTAAGCATGTCACTCTAGTCAGAAAAGAACTTCCATTATTTTGGACAGATGAAAACATGAGCATGTCCGCATGTCTTTATTTGATTGCTTCCTCTACTCGTTCACTTATATTCACTCAATCACAAAATATACATATGAAAGTAGCTGCAATGAGATATCTAGATTAAATACCTATTGCACAAGAAGTTCCCAAAGCGGCATGACAACACACAATCCATAAAGTCAACAAGGAATTTCTGCAGTGAAAAGCAGTTCAGGTTATAAAAATTCATGAAGAGACCTAGTTTCAGCAGAGTAATGCAGCTGCAAAAGAGGAGACGACTTACAGATGAGAACTCAAATGCAGATGGATACAAACGTAACAACTGAGAAATACAATCCAGCCACTGAAAAATAAGATATGAGTGTTCTGAGGTGGGTTAATACAAGTTTTGAGTGATACAGAAACAATTGATATCTTAATCACAAGATATTCACTGCGAGAATTGCCAAATGGATAATGGTTCGCATTGTTCATAAGGAAGATTATTAAAAAGCCAGAATGCAGTCACTTGAATGTAGTAGTCACTATAGCACCGCCTGTTATTAACTAATAATTTCAATATAAAAATGGAAACCATCTGCCATGCATGATTTGCGAGGGCGTGCAACTTAATCCTAAATGCTGAGCGGTCTTCAGACTCTTCAGTGCTCAGTTTGTACAATACAACTCCAGAAGAGTATTAGCTTATGCTTACCCTCACAAAAGAGTATAACATCTGCCATACAGGCAATAAGGAAACCAATTACAGAATCAGAAAAGGTTGATTGTGTATGAGAAAATAAAAGAAGAAAAAACATTATTCATTTAGCTCACTGTTGGCAGTTGCTGATGCTTGTTTATGAATTGAGGTACATTGGGAGAACTGAGACTCAGTTACATCAAATAAATTTGACTGGAAAAGTACTGTTTTAACACAGGGCGCCCAAGAAAGAATAGATTACCTGTAACAGTATGGGTGAAGAGTTGTTTGATGTCTGGGATTGACCAGAAGTAGTATTAGACGTTGACACTGATGATCCTAAAGCACCTCTGTTTGGTGAATTGCTCAAAGTCCCAAGAGAAGGTTGTCTTAGCAGCTCAAACTGTGATCCACTATTATTATCAGTTATCGTTGGAACTCCCATTCGCTCTGCAAATGGATGGCCAAATGCTAGCCAATCCTTTTCCACAAGGGCCTAAAGAAGTGTAGTGCAGAGGGTTACATATCCAAAATGTGAAAATTCCAATTGTGTTATTGAAGTAACATGTTTGAAATAAACCAGCACTTAAAACGTATCTGGCACTAACTAGAAGAATGTACATATAGCTTTCGTGCAGAGTGCATAATATCAAATATAAAAACATGGACATGCAACAAAGAAGCAAAATAAGTAGTGTGTTCGATCTCAAAATTTAAGAAGGCCACCAACCGTGCGATAAATATAAAAAAATCATTTCATTTCCAGTTAGCAAAAAGGGATATCAAACATCAAATATAATGCTAAAATCAAACTGAAAGATTTTGCTACTACTAGTGCATTGCATAAAAGTTAATCTCTGTACCTGGAACCCATTGAACGTTCTATAATATGGATCAAGCAACAAACAAGCAAGTGCAACCAACTGAGTTGTGCGGTCCCAACCATCACTGCAAAAACAAAATAGTGAGAGAATTTGATATGCATCAGCAATGTGTAGGGATACACAGCAAGAAAACTATAGAGATCATACAGACTAAGATGAAATCAACGGATCATAACTTGAATGCACAAGACATGAATCAGGGTGTAAGATCACACCAGTTCTTATTAGGGATCAGGATTTGGGAAAGCATCTAGTTTAAATTATTTTATACTTTGAATTTTGAGTTAAATTCAAATTACAACCTCCCAGATGTGACCAGACAAAGTCTTTCTCTATTCAATTGAGCTTAAACTTATCATCCAGCAATTACAAACCTAGCCTACAGACTCAACTAAATGTCAGGTGCCCAGGTAAGAATGTAGGTGCAAAAAACATTCTCTGCATTCTCCCTTTACTAATAAGTAAACCAATTCAATTAGAGCATCTCCAGAAGCTGGTGAAGAAAAAAAAACCTGCAATGGACGAGAACAGAAGCTGATTCTTGGACAATTTGTGCAGCAATCCACGAAGCACCGACCATGATACTCTGGATATGGTTTAGCCACTCCCCTAACATTGAAGAAAATTGTGTCATGCTATTCAGATTCCCTCCACCCCAGGTTGATCCACGATTTCTCTGTGAGAAAAAAAGATCGTCAATCTCCTCTTCTTCTGTTTTGTCATTAATGAACTTATAGGCATTTCAGTATGATAAAAGTAACACTTGGGACTTATCCGGACC